AATACACATTCATATACGAATTTATTCAGACCGAAATGGAACGAAAAACTACTACTGGTCGAAAGTGCCAACATACCTTCATATGCGAGTACATACATACAATGTACGACTATATGAGTGCCTTAGCCTAGTGCCTCTTTCGTGTATTTTGTGAGCGTGCTGCGCATTTTACTTATTATAATTGATTCTTTAATAATTTTATTTTATTTTAGTTTTTTTTTTTTTTATTAGATATTAAGTGAAAATAAACGATGCGACGTTTTGTTTTGACGTCATCGCAAATGACAAGAAAATGACAGATGTGTGGCCTTGCTCTTATGATTAATATATACATATATACACGTTTTTATACCCGATACTCAAAATGAGTATTGGGGTATATTAGATTTGTGGTAAAAGTGGATGTGTGTAACGTCCAGAAGGAATCGTTTCCGACCCCATAAAGTATATATATTCTTGATCAGCATCAATAGCCGAGTCGATTGAGCCATGTCTGTCTGTCCGTCTGTCCGTCCGTCCGTCTGTCCGTCTGTCCGTCTGTCCGTCCCCTTCAGCGCCTAATGCTCAAAGACTATAAGAGCTAGAGCAACGATGTTTTGGATCCAGACTTCTGTGATATGTCACTGCTCCAAAAATATTTCAAAACTTTGCCCCGCCCACTTCCGCCCCCACAAAGGGCGAAAATCTGTGGCATCCACAATTTTGACGATACGAGAAAACTAAAAACGCAGAATCGTAGAAGATGACTATATCTTCTAGAGTGCAAAATCTGAACCAGATCGTATAATTATTACAGCCAGAATCACGAAAACAATTTCACTCTTTCTCGCTCTGTCTCACTCTAACACACAGGTTTCATGGTCGGTTTTGCCAATTGCAAAATATGAGTTCAAGGATCTCAGAACCTATAAAAGCCAGAGCAACCAAATTTGGTATCCACACTCCTGTGATATCGGACCTTGACCGTTTCCTGTCCAAATTTCGCCACACCCCCTTCCGCCCCCGCAAAGGACGAAAATCTGAGGCAACCACAAATCTCAGAGACTATTAAGGCTAGAGTAACCAAATTTGGTACACACACTCCTTTAAGATGTCACTATAAAACGTATATCTCAGAATTTCGCCCCCCCCCCATCCGCCCCCACAAAGGACGAAAATCTGTTGCATCCACAATATTGCAGATTTGAGAAAACTAAAAACGCAGAATCATAGATAATAACCATATCTATCAGGTTGCTGAATCTGGATCAGATCAGATCATTTTCATAGCCAAAAGGAGCAAATCAATTTGCACTGGCTACGCAGCGCCCGACGTCACGCTCAGACTGATTTTCTGTCTCTCTCGCACGCACTCTTTGTCGTGTCGTTAAATATTAGCGGCGTCTGCCGGAGGAGAGCCATACTGACTTAGTATCGGGTATAACCGTAGAGTTGCGGTGTCCGCAGCAACTCACAACGTTCCCCCTCGTTTTATTTGGATTTTGGTTTAAATTGAAATGCTATGAAGTAGAAATGGAAGGGCTGCCGAGTGTATCCGTTCGCTTATGGGAAATTTGTACAGCGAATGTGCAATAAATTACTCTTACGCACAAATTATTTATCTTAAATTGTACCCCTCCACCAAATCTATTAGCCAAACCACATTTAAGAGCGTATCCGTTCGTTTATGGGACATTTGTGCAACGAATGTGGACTAGTGGATCATGGGTATAGCACCTGCGCTTCTCAAAATGTCTCATCCTAACAAATGTTGGGACCTCTACTCTATGTCCAGGATAAACGTTTTCTACGATGCACAAAAGTGTCTCAGATCTCTAGCCCTCCATCAAATATATGCCTATCGAATACTCAAACAACAGATTCAATTTACGAGTGTATGGTATATGACTCAGAAAGCGTTAGGTATTTTTTATTTAATTTCCCCAAACAGGTTCAAAACAGCAGCTCGGGCGACGAATACTAATCAACCTGCGAAACGGGTTCAATGAAATGGATTTTAATTTGACAGAGATTATCATTTGGTGTTGAAGAATCGCATTAGCATTAACATTGACCCCTATTTCGCGCTATCCAGATAAAGAGAGAGAGAACGTGTGAAAAATTTGCAATTATATGATCGATAGTTGTTCCATAGTTCTAGCTAGCTTTCGCTTTCCGTCTATAGAAAGACGTGTGCGTACTCGTACAATTCACAACAATCTGCACGAGTTACTCTCCCTCTCTCTCTCTCTCTATCTCTCTCTCTCTCTCTCTCTCTCTTATTGTGTTTCAAGGAATTACACTAATCTAATCCGAATCAAACCAAATTCGAATCCGAATCAATCTAATCGAAAACTGTTTTGCCATTGCCCAGAGGCGACCTTCAACCTTCAAAACGATTCTTGAAACAATGAATGGAACTGCAGTCGATGCCGTTAGATATGCATATGCGGAAGTCATGGGCGTCGATTGGAGGGATATTGATCCTCCCAAATGTGTGGTCAACTCACAATTTCGATTAAAGCTCTCATGTGTGTATGTATGTACATATGTACATGGAGAAATAATATGCCACAGTTTCATGAAACAAATGTGGTTGCCCTGCCTGGGTACAGGCCACGGTTACGTGTGATGGCAAAAAACCACTTTCTTGCAACTACTCTTTTCAAAGATCATATTTCTGATCAACTGGTTCTATTTTTTCCTATACTATTTAAATATTTCCTTTCTATATTCATCTGAGACCCATTACTCTGGGTTTAATTCCGAAATAATTCGTGCGCGAAGCCCATTCGCTGTTTGTCGTTTGCCATTCGTAACGAATGTGTTCGTTCGCTTATGGGAAATTGTTAAAGCAATTGACTAGATACACTAGAGTGGACCAGGGGTATTAGATCATTAATATACCAGTAATAGACAAGTACCCCTTTGACTAAGCCCCTGTTCGTTGTTATGCATTTGGTTATACGCCTTATATAATCCAATTGCTGAATTCCGTAAACATCGATCGCATTGATGGCTCGATTGATTGGAAGAAGTGAGAACGATAGAAAGAGATGCAGCGAAAAGCACAGTACTCTGAGTATACAAATATGCAATTCATTTAACTGGCGCTTGCACCGGACCCAAATAAAACGTTTCCTCCAATCAATTCGGTAAATTTCCATGCGTTCCACTGCCACGGCATTGCTGGGCCCTGAAGAGGGGGCTGGTCGCAGAGGGCCATACATGTACTATATAGGGAGAGAGGAGCAGGTGTAACAATCACGAAACGTGCGCTGGGCCGACGATCATCCAAAGCGAGAAACGAGCAAGAATTCGATTCGCAAAAAAAATCCGACAATGGGCACGTGCATTGGAAATACCGATTCGGATACAGAATTCCGGTACGCCACCGGATCCTTGAACCTGATCGAACCACTTCCTGCTGGCGGGCTGGAACGACGACCGGCCTGCTGCTGTTCCAATTCAGTGCCACAATGCCGTGACGCAATCAGCGACAAATATGCCCGAGTATACACCCGTACACATTTGAAACTTAACTTTGAATGATTGCTGACAAAGGCAATTCCGAGATTTTATGTACCCATAAATGTGTTCCGTCTGGAGAGACATATTTGAAATATGGAGTAATTTAGTGAAAATAATACGAGTACGTAGGTGTACCAATTGTAATAAAATTAACCACTTGGCTGATTGGCTTTTGATATTTCCGAGTTGCAGGCGAGCGAGCAATTTATTTCGCGCTGGAATCAGTTAAAGCTAAAGCTGCGGGGGATTTTTCCATTTCTATTGATCTTTGTCGAGAGCTTTGCATGGGGACAATAACAATCAAATGAAAAGTTGTGGGAGTGTGTGGGAGTAGTTTTTTATAAACTCCAAAGAAATACATATGCACATACGAGTACATCTGGAGTTTATCCAAATTCTTGTATGAAAACGAGGATGGATGCCACAGATTTTCGTCTTTTGTGGGGCCGGAAGAGGGCGGGCGAAGTTTTTCAAATATACCTATAATAGTGAGATATCCCTGTAGCTCTTAGATCTAAGCGCTCATCCGGCCGGATAGCCGGAGAGTGCTTCCTTCTGGGCGTTACACACATCCACTTTCACCACAAATCAAATATACCCCTATACTCATTTTTAGTATTGACTATAAAAAAAAGTAATACCATTATTTTAGCCGGATATACTTTTAAATTTGCTATTTATTTATTTGCTGTACAAATTTCCCATAAACGAACCGACACATTCGCTACGAATGGCTTACCAAATATGACCATTCACCACGAAGGTTCGGTTGTTGTATTAATATTTGAGTATTTTTTAAAACCTCTTGATGATATTTGATGTTTAACCGGGCCACTAGGTGGTGTGGTTTGCCTTGCAATATAATGATTTTTTTTGTATAGTTTTTTATAGTTAAAGATTAAGATTTTAGATAAGTAATATTAATTTTTTTTTTAATTTCTGAATACAAACCTCGAGCTTATATTACCAACGGGTGGTGTTTTTCATCATAAAATGCAGCTAATACCAGGTGCTTTTATCAGTGTATATTAGTCTTATTTTCAGCAAATTTATTAAAGTGCTGTTCTGTTAACTGTGCAGCTAATCGTCATTGATCCACATCGCTTGCTGATCGTTTATCGATTGACTGCATCCATGCTATTTGCAAGCTCTCCGATCCGATCCCTTCCCTTCGCTTTCCTTCGGAATAGAATGCCACTAAATTGTTCAGCTTTTTTCGATAATCAGTTTAAGGGAAGAGAATTTTCGTGATTGTGTGTTGCTCCCTTCCTAGCTTGCCCTTCCCCTTAAACGATAACCGTTATATGCATTTTTGCAGTGCTTAGACACACACACACACACACTCGCTCAAACAACAATGTCAGACACACACACACACACAATGGCATATGTCGAGTGCTGATGTTTCGCTTTTTGTTTGCTTGACGCCGCCGGGGGCCCCAACCCGATTCTGTTGGCCAACTCGAGCATTGAGTCTGGTTTGAGTTCTTGCCGCGCACGGTCCTACGATCGCCGGGAGAAAACCCACAACATACATTGGTCTAATTGTACTCGTACGTACTCGTTATTCCCCTTCATTGATCGAGCAATTGAAAGGTGAAAATTAAATTTGAAACGAGTATGAGACTTCGATTCCGATCGATGCTTATCGGAGATATTACCATGTATAGGCATCGCTTATCAGAGAGCATTCTGTTCTAATTAAAAGAAAATAGGCACGATATTGATGGATTATGTGATATGGATTGGTTTATGTCAGTGATTTACTACCGGCTCTGTGAATATGTGCAAATTGCGTCACTGTGAATTATAACAACAATTAAATCAACGTGCGTTTCGGGGGAGTTAAATAACCGGAATTTACTCAAAAGTTTTAATTTATTTGGAATGATTTGGCAAAACAACCTTGAGTGGCTCAAAGTTAATGAGCCTTCCTTCCTGGTCCCCGCAGTTGAAAGCATTTGTTTGATTTACTTTCAAATGTTTTTTTATTTCTATTAGATATTTGTTTTATGATTGCCACCCATTTTTCATACAAGGGGTTAGTGGATAGTGCAAGAAAAATGTAATGGGGTAATGCATCAGAGAGAGAGAGCGAAGATTAACAGCTCATCTGTTTATTGTCCCTCACTCTCATTAGCTTTGTTCTCCCTACGCTCATAGTAACAGCAGATGTAGAAGGAGTACGAAATAGATCCTCTCTTAAAAGCTTGCCGTCCCTCTCCCACTTGTGAGACATATTTGAAGAACCGTTAGGCTTGCTCTCATCTCACACAACAGCCGATGCAGGTGCAGAAGTAGAATGGGAAGAAGAGGGCGGAATAGAAACTAAAAAACTTTCAATTTCATTTAAAACGACGTCCGACTCCGTCTCATTACCACACACAGCAAGAGCAAAAGCAGCAGCAGAGCGTCAGCGAACAGAAGGCCATCGAAGCTGGCGAAATGGGCAGAACACTGGAGATAACACCGGTAACGGTAACAGCAACGGCAAATGGAGACCATCAGATGGAGAAACAGGCAACGGATGTGGAGGGCAGCAGCCCGGTGAAAAGGCGTCATGCCACCAGCAATTTGGAGGCAGCCACACATCTCTTTAAGGGCAGCGTGGGCGCTGGTCTCTTTGCGATGGGTGATTGTTTCAAGAATGGCGGACTGGCGGGTGCCACCATCTTGCTGCCGATCATTGCCGTGATGTGTGTCCACTGCGAACGGATGCTGATTCGCGGCTCCGTCCTAGCCGTAGAGCGGACGCCGGGCGCCACCTTTTTCGATTACCCAGAGACGGTGGAAAAATGCTTCGAGTATGGGCCGCGTCCCCTGCGTCGCATGTCGCGCATCATGAAGCTCATTGTCGAGATGTTCCTGTGCGTCACGCAATTCGGCTTCTGCGCCATTTACTTTGTCTTCATCACCGAGAATTTGTATCAGGTGAGTCCGACTTCCAACTTCAACAGGCTGCGATAATTGCATGGGTGGTTGCAACTCGGTTCGTTCTTTTGAAAAGTTTTAATTGATTAAAGTGGCTTACCATAAAATAATCCCTACACTTCTCTTTGATACAGGTACTGCAACAGAATGGAGTGGACATCAGCATGAGTATGGTGATGCTGATCACCCTGCTGCCCGCCATGATCCCCTCACTGATGACCAATCTCAAGTACATCTCGCCGGTGTCGGCCTTTGCAAATGTTGCACTGCTATTTGGCCTGATTGCCACGCTGTCCATAGCCTTTTCGGACGGACCGATGCCACCGTTGGGCGATCGGCATCTGTTCACCAGTGGGTCCCAGCTTTCGCTATTCTTTGGCACAGCCCTCTTCTCGTATGAGGGCATTGCCCTCATCCTACCGCTGCGCAATTCGATGCGAAAGCCGGAGAACTTTAGCAGCCGCTTTGGAGTGCTTAACTCGACCATGTTCTTCACTACGGCCCTGTTTATCTTCACGGGCTTCGTCAGCTATGTGCGCTGGGGCGAGGATGTGGCCGGCAGCATTACCCTCAATCTCGTTGTGGAGGATGTGTAAGTTCTGCTCAAAGCAGGTGGAAGCTGTAACTAAATCTTCTCTTATCTTCTTCGCGCAGCTTGTCGCAGGTGGTGAAGGTTGTGGCCGCTTTGGGCGTATTTCTTGGCTATCCCATACAGTTCTTTGTCATGATGAAGATACTCTGGCCGCCGCTTAAGCGGTCCAACAGCTGTGCCCAAAAGTATCCCATCAGCATGCAAGTGGCCCTGCGCTTCGTTATGGTAATGATGACATGTAAGTAGTTCGATGCCTCCATGTCTGTCCAACTGATTCTTACTAAGGTTTATGTTTTCTATTTCCTTTCAATTTGTCAGTTGGCGTTGCTCTGGTGGTGCCCCAACTGAATCTTTTCATATCGCTAATCGGAGCTCTCTGCTCGACGTGCCTGGCCTTTGTTATACCAGTTCTCATTGATTTCGTAGTACGTGCCCAGGTGCCCAAGGGCCTGGGGCACTGGTCATATGCAAAGAATTTACTTATTTTGGCAGTGGCTCTGCTGGGCATTGTCACTGGCACCTATCAAAGCATCGTCGAGATTATAAGACAGTTTAAGTAGGTAAATCCGTTGTCAAGTCTTTCTTTGTAAATAATGCTGTAATTTCTGTATTATGTGAATGCGCTGTAATGTTGTAAAATTCGTTTAGTCTTAAGTCTTATTCCTATACAATGTATTTTTCCATTTTTTTTTGTTTGTTTATAGTTTTAAGCTGTGCATTTTTTGTATGTATGGAACTTTAATTGGCTTTCAGAAAGAGAGAAACAACAAAATGATCTACAACAGAAAATAATTTTAATAAATGATTACAAATCGTGAGTGGCTGGCCTTTTTGAATTTGGCGCTCATGGTGGCGTCATGTTTCCCATCACTAGAAACCGCTCACACTTATCGGAAAGTATCGAAATATTTGGTATTTTAACAAGTCTCAAATCTAACAGTCAAGATCAACGCATTTCATCGACGTAAGAAAGTCTTACATTCCTGGCGTTGATAAACTCTTATCCATAAAACGCTTCTTTGCAAAGCATAGCCACCATTTGCTGGGCTTATCGTCCGACGTGTCAAAGACCTTTTCCAGCAAACGATTGCCGGTCTCCTGACGCAGCTGCAGCAAGTACTGACGCATCAGCTCCGGTTCGTTTGTCTTGACAAAGACCGAGTTCAGCGGAAATCCAGGATCGCCCGGCAGGTCAAATTTTGAGATGGCCAGACTGTAGAGCTCCTGCTGTCCCTGGCTCTTATTGTTGCATCGCGCCAATCGCTTCAGGCAGTCGGTTATGTAGAGCGTTACATAGATAAGAACCCGGTCCACTTCCGACTGCGATTAGATATGAATTAATATTTTTTGGGGGGTAGTGAATGTATGTACATGTTTCTGTCTGATGTGGGTATGGTATGCACAAACCTTCACTTCGTATTCGCGAAAGAAAACGTTCGATTTGAAGTAATATAGTGACTCATCAATGATGTCGTTATCACCATTATAATTGGGCGCTGGGCCTCGCACTTGGGTGCGTAGCGGCAAGATGGCCATGTTCCCCACCGTTTTGTGGAACTCCTCGATCTCTGAATGATATGCCTTGTAAAAAAAATATAAACAAATCAGTATGTTGTAAGTTATCAAATTTAAAAGCAAATTAAGGTAAAACCCAGTTTACACGCTCACGAAATTGAAGCCTGGCCTGGAAGTCTGCCTCTGGCCAAAAGCTTACCATTTAAAGACTTTAGATACTCTACAAACAAATGTAAATAATTCCTTGCGAAATTAAAAGTTATTTTCCGAATGTCAGTAATCGTAAGTGTTGTGAAGCGTGACAATTTTCAAAGTTTCAGTATTGTTTTAATGACTTCCTCCCCTAGGTCACACACCTTGCAATCTTCTTAGATATATATCGGTAAGCTGATCAAATATTGTTGGTTTAAATCTCTAGGTCTATAAACGGTCGAGATTACGTTATGGCGCCTCACAACAACTATTCGAAAAAACTAGACCTGACCCAATAAAAGAGCCCATTTCCTACAAAGTAATATAATCGATTCATTAATACACCCAGCACTAAGAAAATAAGTTCCCCTCATTCCTTTTCTCTCGCATGGCGATGTCGAGAAAAAAGGTCTCATTCTCGAGAAGCCCACCTGTCTCGAATAAAGGACCTGCTAAAGCTCAACTTCTCCAGCCGGTCGTTGGCAGCCAGCGGCTAGAAGCGGAGAGACACAATGATAGATATCAGAATATATGATCCATTAGACCCACCTTGGCAATATTTACACTTAACGCAGCCGTCATAAAGGGGAGACCCTCCAGCTGTGAGATCCTTGTTGCACGACACACAAATGGCGATGGGCTGAACCAGGACACGGAAAATGAAGCGCGTATATAAAACCGGTCATATCGATATTTCATCGATAAGTCTCCAGCCAACAACAAAATGTAAATATAAATTTTACAAATGTAAACAACAAAAATGGCTAACAATCGTGTACGTATTGTTATTGTTGGCGATTCAGGTATTTATTTGCATTTATTACACCAAAGTAATCCACAACTAACTAACTTATTGATGTTATACCTTGAATAGGGGTGGGAAAGACCTGCCTGACCCATCTGATTGCCCACAATGAGTCGTTGACACGCCCAGGCTGGACGGTGGGCTGCAACATCCAAGTGAAGATCCATCAGTTCAAGGAGGGCACAGCCCGGCAGAGCCAGTATTTCGTGGAGCTCTTCGATATTGGCGGTTCGCTGAGCCACAAGAATACACGCGGCGTCTTCTATTCTGGCGTACATGGCATTATCTTGGTTCATGATCTGACGAATGGCAAGTCGCAAGAGCAGCTGCTCGACTGGCTGCACGAGATACTCAACAAGGAGGGCAAGGATACGTACAAGTCGCGTGGCAGTTCAATGCCGCCATCACCGTTGGCCAACTATTCCACAGACTCTTCCTTCCACGTCCGTTTCGACTTGGAGGAGTTCCTGGGCGCCACACAAACACCCATTCTGGTGATGGGCACCAAGCTCGATCTCATCGATGAGAAGCGTCAACCCAAGACGGCTCTGAAAAAAGCTGGTGGCATAGGTCTCTCTCCCTATTCCCCTTTATATTCCATTTCTAAATACATCCCGTTTGTGTGTTTCAGCTGACAAATGTGGAGCCGAAGAGATCTGGCTGAACTGCAGAGATACGCGAAGTCTGGCGGCCGGCACCACAGATGCCGTAAAGCTATCACGCTTCTTTGACTGTGTCATCGAGAAGCGTGAATCCATTGGCTGCTCTGGGTCACATTATTATGGATCTGGATCGGGATCTGGACCAGCAGGGGCAGACAGACGTCGGCCCCCCAGCACGGCCACGCAAGCGGCAGAGTATTCCCTGTATGGCGGCTCCTCCATCGATGCGGCCAGCGTTATGCCGTTCCTCGAGACCAGTGACCTCAAGTGACTGACTGACAGGCGTCCGGTGTGTCTTATGTTTAGCTTTTAGACAAAATGGAATGTGATTAATTAAATGTTATATTGTACACACAACACACTTTACTTTTCAATTAAAAAATGCATGAATTATCCAACGAGACAAGCGGTGAAAAACATTTGTGGCATTTAGCTAGTTTCCTTTATTGTCTTAAATCAACTTTTTTGTCGTAGTTGTAGTTGAAATCAGTGAGTATTTGAAGGTTCTTATAATGAAAGTGTAAGTACTTACATTTGTATGCCCGATACTCGAAGAGTTTAGGTACATATATATTATTTAAGTGTTGGATGTTTTTCTTATTGGGTTCTAAAATCATAAATTAGTGAATTGCATTCTCTTTGCAAAAGGTCTGTTTCTTGTAAAAATATTACAAATGTAAAAAAAAGTAATTTCATTCAGTTCAAAACTATAAAACTGCCCATTCATTGGGGAGATGCTCTTCTAGAGTATTTTGTATTATAAACTACTTGTACTTATTTGGTTTTACATGCCATTTTGGCAGAGTTTCGTTTTATTTGTGATTGGGCGTTTAGGCTCCACCCTTCATCAGAGTACGATACCACTCGGGTATTATTTGATCTTCCGGCGAAGTGAGCACTCGATAGTACACGCTATCAGAGTGGGGAAGGAATTCAAGTTCGACCACTGTCTGTGGATCATTTATAGCCTCGAGGAGTTTTTTCAGCTCCTTGAGAAACTGCTCTAGGAATTTGAACATGGCCGTTGGACTCCAGGGCTTGTTGCGGGCCAACTCTGCCACATCGTGCCGCACAATGTCATGGCATATACCGTCCCCATCGCGCAATCCAACCATAATGGTTTTGACGCCGACTAGAAATGACTGACCCCACCAGGTACGAGACTTGCAAAAATTGAATGAGCGCTGCTGCCTGGCCTCTGCCTCGAAAGCACCCGTCTTGAACTCCACAAACTGCAGGTTCTTGAGGGCTTCAGGATCATTGAAGTTACTAAAACAAACGAAAAAGTTAACATTAAAAATTATTTCCTAAATTGAATGGAAATGAATGGAAAATATCTGGAACTTACACAGGATTCCTGCTGACGATGCCATCCATTTCGGCTCCATAGAGCAAACGCATGCCCTGCAACGAACAGCGAAACATTGCGTTGAACTCTACGGCCTCATTCACTGGGAGACTTGTGTCGGGCGGAGTATTGGGAACTGGCGACGACATGTACTGCTCGAATTTGAAGCCCCAAGAGCACATTGCTGCGGAGTGCTCAGTCATTGAAACCTTTTCCTCCCGTTGCTGATCGGTCTGAATTTTGGCAATATAAATGGTACCATTAAGCCTGGTGGCCCTCACGCAAAAATCGTCCCGCGTCTCGTACGGCATACACATGAGCAGCCGCAGCACGCCGCGACAGGCGACAAAGTCTGCGCGCAAAGCGAGCGATTTTGACTCGGTCGGAGTCAACAGCTGCTGATGATTGTAAATGTACTTCAAAAGGTTTGCCAAATCGTCAATTCCCGTTTTTTCTATCTTGCGTATGACCCGCTCATATCCGGCCTTTAGGTCCAGTGGAAAGGATTCTTTTGGTGGCATCCACAGGTAGCTGGCACCGCTCGAATTGTCCTCAAACTCCTGTTGAGAGTTGATGCTGAAGAACCCAATGCATTCCGGATGACTGAATTTAGGAAATGAATGTCTGTATGTGCGTCCCAGCTTGTGCAGACGCCTGTCGACATGAAGACGTTGCACATCGTTGCTGCGTGCATGCGCCATTTTGTTAATTTCTTAATATTGGCTTCCACCGGTTAATTACACGACAAAATAAAACGAATTCGGTATTGTTCCAAAATTTTTCCCGGTAAAACCAAGAAAAAGAAATGACCAGTGTGACCGCGTATTTATCGTTAACCTTCCGACTCTCAGAAATATACCGTCTCATTTTAAAAATATACTGATGAATTCATGTTCTATATTCCTCGATTTGTATATTCCGTGGAATATTACTAGCTATCTAGATCTCTCAGCCCTGCCCTTATAATTTTATCCAATTATCCAATTATCTATTTTCTAAATGACTGACTTATTTTACACACTTGACATTGATTTTTTGGCGCAATTTTGATTCCTCAACAACAATATATCGTCTCGTATGATGATAAATCAAAGTTAGCCCACTTAAGCCCCCTCAATTTAAATAGTTCAACTACTTGAGGTAAATGGCGGAAGATATTAAAGATTGTAAATTCATCTTGTAGACTTATGCCATCTTTCCTCTAAATTTAAACACTATATCTTTCTCCTGAACTGCGCCAACATTATTAAATTTTTATTATTTTCGGTGGAAAATTAAAATACCCCCTTGGCTTATAATAGGTTAATCGTTCTCCGTCAAGGATTGGAACATATTAATGTTTTTTTCCTTAAGGCGAGTCCTCCTATCAGAGACGATTTGTCCAGCCTGAACATGAGTTCGGATTCTTCAGACGTCGCTGGCACGCATAAATATTTGAACATAAGGATTTTTACTAAATCGAATTCATTTTCGTTGACCATCTCGATAATGCCAAACCAGCGATAGTGCCATCGATAGTTCTCCACAAACAAAAACGACTGCAGAATAACAAAAACTAAACTAAATTTGTTTCGAAGATTGGTTGATCAAAATGCGACCACAACGTCAATGCATTGTAGTGAACATGCGCTCCGCGATAGCGCTAATTGTTATATTCGTGCTAAACGGCATTAAGAACAGCGAGACGGCCAGCGGTGGCAACCAAATGGATCTATCCGATGCAAAGGGCGACCACAAGGACAACAGCAATGCCAGCAATAATAATAACAACGACAACGAAGTATTTATGCCGGCTCTGGGCAATATGGTATCCAAAACGTCATCATCCTCCAGTGCATCCATCGATAACATAACCACCTACACCAGCAGCAGCAGCAACAACAACATGCTATGTCCTTTCGATAGAGAGACGCCCTGCGACCGTCTGCAGTTCCCCTGCATCCGATGCAGCTACAACTATGGCTGCTACTACGGACGCGAGGTAAACGTCACCTGCGAGGCCATCACCAATGTCCAGTGCCAGGGCGAGCGCACCTTTCAGCGTCAGATGAGCTGTCGCTACTGCTACCAGACGGAGCTCTGGCAGCAGAGCTGCCTGCAGCGCGCCAATTGCAACAAATTCTATCGCACCAATTGCACTGTCCACCAGGATGTCCTCTGTCTGGGCAATCGTTCGTTTACACGAAACCTAAAATGCAACTGGACGCAGGGCTATCGCTGGAGCACAGCGCTGTTGATAAGCCTCACCCTGGGCGGCTTTGGGGCCGATCGCTTCTATTTGGGCCACTGGCAGGAGGGAATTGGCAAGCTGTTCAGCTTCGGTGGTCTCGGCGTTTGGACCATCATCGATGTCCTGCTCATTTCGATGCACTATTTGGGACCGGCCGATGGTTCGCTCTATATTTAGGGTGGGGTGTGCCTGGGGATCTGACCTATAGGTTTAAGAAGACTGTTTGTTAGCCAAAAGCCTAGAACATAAGCAAAAATCTAACCATTACCATGTACATATGTATTTGTTTTGTTCAAGAACACATTATTACATAACGATAATCGAGTATTATGCCAGGACTATGCCTCTGTTGGGGGGCCAGAGGATGGCTCGCAAACGGCACCCACATCGTCATCGCCATCGTCGAATTTTGTGTGCTTGGCCAGCACTTTGGATACCTTCTCGCGCCCCCGCCTTTGCTGTACGCGCACCTTCTTGGTGAGCTTCGCTTCGCGATCCTGTTCGATTTTGCGCCAGTACTGGGTCTCGGCCTGGCCATCTAGCACCTTCAGTTGCCTCTCGGCACAGCTCAGCTGGCGCACCAACTCCTCGGCGGCGGTAGGTGTAGCCATGCGCAAGGTGGCCGCTTGATCACCCTCTTTAATGTCCACATACTTGATATCCGGATATTGGCGCATGTCGGTCTTGAACTCTTTGATGTTGGTGCACGGCTCATGCAGCGTGCACTCGACAATGAGCCCCGGCTCGTACTTGAAGAGCGGTGTGCGCTCCTGGGAGGGATCCTCGGTGCGAACGGCGCTGCGACTGTCATCCGTCTCTCCGCCACCGGCTCCATAGAAATTCATGTTCATTTTGTGGACAGCCTTGCGACGCTTTGGCGGCACGGGCACGCTGGCCTCCGTCGCCCCACCGCCATCATCGGCATCGCTGAGCGGCTCGCCCTCCTCACCACCACCGCCAACGCTCGCGTTCGTGCTGTTAGTCTTCGTCTCCGATAACTGCTGGCCGCCAGTCGCCTGCATGGGTGTGCGCTTGCGTGGATGATTGGGATCCAACTGTTGCTGCTGCGACTCGCGCCACAACTTGGCCTTCGCCTCGCTGACCAGGCGACGCTGCAGATTGAGGTATTTGTTGCGCAGACTGCACCAGCTAGTCTTTGGTAAGACCTTCAGCTCTACGGCGGTGGGATCAATGTTGGGCTTGTCTATGATGGCCTTCTTCTTGCGCTTGCGGCGACGCTTCTTTGCTTCGTCAGCCTCTCCATCTCCAGCTCCCTCCCCCTCGCCAGCTGTTTGATCATCTTTCGCGGCGTTCTCCTCCTCCTCCGCCGTTGAGGCCTCCTGGTCCGATTCACTTGCGGTCTCTTCGGCAGTGGATGTCTCGCTAGGCTGGTGTTCCAGCTTGATACGCTTAATGTCATGCTGATCTTCCTCCTTGGCCCTGCACGAGGCAAGGTCTCTCTTGCGACCCCGCTTGTTGGCATCCTCCTGCGATGCATCAACATTTTTGGCCTGCTGTTGTTGCTGCTGAAATGAGCGAACGCTAGCCAAAACGGCTGGGTCTGTGTCAAGGGATAGGACACCCTGGACCTGGGCAAAGGCTTTTACCGCCTTCTCCAGGGCACTGCTGCGTTCGAACTCGATGAAGGCAAACTCCTTGATCTTCTTGGTGCCTGGGTAGTGAGGTAGCGATACATAGGCCACAGGGCCATAGCGACTGAAGACTTCCTTCAGCCAATCGTGGCTGGCATTTGCCGGCAGGGCCTCCACATACAGCGTCTTGTCATTGACGTCGCGCTGGTCGGGCAGCTTGGTCTTGCGGCGTACCTTCAGGGCGCTCTCATCCAACTCCAACAGCTGGGAGTTGTTTAATGCCTTGGCTATCTGCTTTACATCCTCGGCGAGCGGCTTCATTTTGTTGAACGTGAGAAAGATCTCCAGGGGAACATCTAGTTAGAAGTTTTCAGAATTTAATGGCTGCTATAAAAGCGTTTTTTTGCTGTGCCACTTACAAGGATCCTGGTCCACATAGCGCCGCAGGAAGCGATCTTTAGTCAGATTCGCATCGCCAAAATAAAACTCCATTTGGCTGCGAATGGAATTGTACAAATGCCGTTTGCGTTTGCGACCACCGGCGGCGGCATCTCTTTTGGCCGGCTCACTTGACTCTGCATCAGTTTCCTTGGCATCCTGTTCGATTTGGTCCAGGGGGGGTACTTTCTCTGCCTTGGAGGTAGGCTCCTGGCCCTCGCTCTTATCACTGGCTGTGACTTTGGCTGCCATTAAATAAAATACAAAATATTTTTGTATGCGAGGCGATTTGGATTTTATTAAGCAGCCGAGCCGGCCCCAGTGTTACACTGAACCGTCTGGTCAGGCAACGCAGATGTCAGTAGTTTTTGCAAGCGGCAAACAGATGCGAATGTAAAGTACACTGTTCGGCAGCAACAACCATATAATCGTGTCTTTATTCAAAATTGAAACAAGCTAAAGACCTTAATAAACATTTATATAGTGTGACCGCGGACTTATCGATAAAATATACCGTCCGACACTCAGAAATATACCGAAACATACCGTCTCATTTAAAAAATATACCGTAAATAGACTGATGAATTCAAGTTCTATATATCGCGATTTATATATTCCGTGGAATATTAGTAGCTATCTAGATCTCTCAGCCCTGCCCACATAATTTTATACGATTGTTGAATCTATTTTCTACTTGATTGGCTTAATTTTAACACTTGCTTTTATTGGATTTCTATATAACGTTAAAAGAGAAATTTAATAGATTGATGAAATTTACCTAATATACCATTATATACCGATATACCGAAAATATACCGTTGGCTCAATTTTGGCCTCAGGGCTACCGGATCAGTGGGACACCCAACCGACTGGCAGCGCTGCGCAGCTGTCAATTGTTTTGGCGGGCACAAACAAAATGAGAACATTAGGTGTGTTGTACAGTGCGGCACAATAGGCAGCAACAACAAAACGTAAATAAAGCGATACCAATTAAATAGGAATTTTGTTTAATCAATCTAATAACCTGGACCGCAGCTTTCGGCAAAACATTAATCAATAATTAACTTCTGGGTATGTGTGTTGTGAATAAAAGTGAATAGTGTGTTAAAACTAGGGTCCGCACCTAAGGCCGCGTCCGCGACGCGCTGCCAAGGCGAATGGCAAGCCAGGCAAAAGCAAAAGCAAAGCAGAGAGCCGAAGGAAAAGAGGAAGCATCCGAACCAAACAAGCGTTTATTTTACACTTTGGCGAATATATCGAGTGCGGCAAGCATGTGCCGTTGAGCAGCAGACATGGAATCAATTGTTTTGCACTCGGATGTGGCTCGTCTGGTATTGGGTAATTACTGTTTACTGTTTACATCCGTAAACACTTGTAATTCTGTTGTGGCATTTTCTTTTGTGGCTTGGCTCCCCGCTCCCTTGCAGGTTACCTGGTGAATCAGGATCTGAAAAAAGCCGCTCACACACTGTGCCGCACATCGCCGCACTTGCGGCAGGAATGCGTTGCCCTCAAGCGGGGCCTGCAGACGCACAACTTTCTCAATGGCGGCCTGGAGGACATCATATGCGAGCACGTCAAGATCACTGGATTGGGTAAGGACACTGCACTCCTCCCTCCTCCTGCTCTTGCGGCACTACAGTTTACATATGTATGCTTCTACTTTTAGTGGCCCAGGCTCTGCAGAAGCTGCCGCTGGAACTGCGCCATCAATTGCAACAGCTCAAGCTGTCCGAGCGCGTCTTCGAGCTGATGAACATGGATCGCAACTCGAACACCAGCAAGCCAGCAGCAGCAGCAGCAGCGGGGGCGACCACCAGCACACCCAGCCGCGCGCATCGCAAAAGGAGACGCATGTAACTAGACACGGCTGATTGTGCTGCACAGGCCACAGCTCCACAGACGCGCACATTTCAAACGGATGCGTTTATATTTCAGACGCACCCAATCGCCTGTAGGATTCTCGCCATCGCCCACGTTAAGCAAGCGTCCGCGTCTCCTGCCACCTTACATTTGCTGCAGCCTGAACCGCGATAAGTCGCACATAAGCGGCTTTCTGGCCAGCCATGTGGACGACGATGACGAAGTCGAAGCCGACGATCAGGATGAGGATGAGGAGGAGTCAGATGCGGAGAGCACCTTGGCTAGCGAGGATATAGGAGAAGAGGAGATGCCGCCAGAGCCGCGCAACAATTCCACGCCACGTCAAAATAACGACGAGGCCGAGCCGGAGCTAATGCTTACCCCGCAAACAATGCCAGTGAGTGAGAACAACTCATATCCAATCGGGATTAAATCGAATTGTAATCCCCCTCTCCCTCTCTTCCTTCCCGCACAGGAGCTAACGACGGCCATTATTAATAATCCCGATTTCCGTGAGACTTTGGTCAAGAACATCAATGTGGCCCTACAGACGGTGACCATTAACAATCCCACAGTTAGCTGTGATGCTATCCTGGACGGCCTGGTGCGTAACATACTGGAGGCCACCGAGAAGGATCCCTCATTCGATCGTATCATCCAAGAGGTGGTGGGTGCCGACGAACCAGACACCATGGAAGGCCAACCCATAGAAGAAGAAGCAGTAGCAGCAGCAACAAAAACGGCAGCCGCTTCTCCTCCAGTACAATTAGTGGCACAGGCACAGCCAGAGGCAGAGGAAGTGATTGAGCCTGCCAATGACCCGGAACCACCACAAACACCGCTGATCATACGCACTGCGGTGGCGGCTAATTCATGTGATGATCCCAACTTTTCCATCTCCAAGCTGATTGTGTTCAATTCGAATGAGAGTGTCCAGAAGCTGGTCAGAGCAGCAGATCCCACCGGCAGCGCCGCCTCCACCAATGTGAGCTTCACCAGTGAGAACCTTAGCCTGAACTTCGATCCTGGGACCATGCTGACAGAGGCAGAGGCTGCCGCCGCGGGTCAGGTGTGCGTGGATGCCACCACTGGACAACTGACCTTTCCCATGTTCTACTCGAATGGAGGCATGCTCTCCCATCTGCCGTTTCTGGTGAACAACGAGTGGGTGGCCCAGCAGCTGGGCCCGGATGCCTTCGCCAATGCAGAGGACTCTCACATAGAGATCTCGCTGCCAGAGCCCATTACCTTTACAGCCGACCAGCTGCCGCCCAATTCGATAATCATCAACAGTGCCCAGAAGCAGCCACCGTTGATGCCAACCTCCCAGCTTATCGATGAAACGGCGGCGGCAGATGCGGCGGGTGTCGTGCTGCAGGCTGATGCAGTGGAGGAAGAGAAGCAGGCAACAACAGCACTAGCAGAAGAAAAGCCCAAGCAGCAGGAGGAGCAGCAGCAGCAGGAGCCTCTGGCAGGGCAAGCTGCACTTCCACCCGCTTCGCTGGACTCCTCGCGGATGGTCATCGAACGGGCGACACCCTCCACATCGGGCATCATCAATGTGAAGGCCTATCGCAGTCTCTCAACGCCCCGCAAGCGCACCTCCCACGTGCGTACACTGACATTCTCGCCGAAAGTGCCGTCCGGAATGCTACCGAATCCCAACACCACACCGCTGTCCACACGCAGGCTTGGAGTAGCCGCAGCCGCAGCCACTGCCACTGCCACTGCCACTGCCACTGCCGCTGGCAGGGCCAACGAGAAGCCCGTCATCAATAATGTGGAGATCATACCAGCAGGATCCGCGCTGGCGCCCGTTTCCGTTTCGGATTTGAGTGCCACTGACACCGGACACGGTGTCCCGCCGCTGTTTGCGATGGAAGAGTGCAGCAATCAGACGGTGATCAAGGCCTCATCGGCCAAGAAATCAAAGAAAAAAGCAGCGGAGGCAGCAGCAGCCGCGGCAGCTCCTGCCATGGCCGCTGTGACGCCCAAGCGCAAGCAGAAGCGTCAGGCGGCGGTGAATGCCTGCAAGAGGATCATTGCTCAGGCACCCGCACTGGAGGCGGAACCAACGGCAGTGGCCCCAAACGAAAGCGAGGAGGAGGCGTCGGCCAGCTCCTTGGATCCCAATGATAGTGCCGAGGCCAGCAAAGAGAACCAACAGAATCAGCCTCCAGATGTGACCTCCTCATCCACCAGCCAAAGGGATCTCGATGCGGGACAGGAAATGCTGGCTGCCTGGAATCGCCAGTTGATTGGGTCCAGCAGCGATCTGGAGAATCGTCTGCGCGAGATCAATGCCAGGCAACAGGATGAAGCACCAACCCCCGCTGTAAAGCAAACACGCCCCCGTCGAAAGGTGACGCCCACCGCCAAAAAGAAAAAGGAGCCCAAGCCCAAGGCCAAGCCAGAGGCCAAGGCCAAGCCCAATCCAGAGGTCAAGGCCAAGCCGGAGCCCAAAGGCAAGTCCGCCAAAGCCAAAAAGCAGCAGCAAGAAGCGGGCGGCGGCACCGTTGGCGTTAGCATTAAGATCACGACGCCCCAAAAGCCAAAACCCAAGTCGAAGACCAAGAAAATTAAGAAGCCAGTTGCAGCAGCCGCCACAGCAGAAGATCCAGAAACACCAGCTCCCGTAGTGGAGAAAGAGCATGCGCCAGAACCGGACGCCGGACCGCTGCCATCCGCAAATTCAGAACCGTTCATCCTCAGCCACGACATGGATGATATAGCCGCCAACATGGCCATGCTACTGGATACGCCCTTCAAGCAGCCGCCCATTGGATCTCTGAGCAGCATTGGGCCCGTTCATGGTGGGCCCATGGGTGTGCCGCCCACGCCTGGTGGTATGGCGATCCTACCGCTGGACACGCCCTATGGCAAGCTGCCGACCAGCTCGTTTCTGTTTGGTTCGGACACAAAGAGCATCATGGACACGCCACAGATGAGCGCCATTACGCCTGGTTTCCGTCTGACCCCATTTGGCCACAGGTCGGGCACACCGCTGGGCAGTGCCGCCAAAACGGATTACTCATCAGGCAGCAGCTACTATCGGCCGGACGAGGCCGAGCATACGGATGCGAATGCGCAGTGCGCCATCCAGCAGGGCGAGGATTGGGAGGGAACAAAGCAGCAGCGGCAGCAACAGCAGCCAGAACCACAACAACAACCGCAACCAGCAGTAGCTGCAGCTGAAACAGCCCCCAAGGGAGTCCAGGAAGAGCTGGATCCGAATGAAGCTGCAGTCCTCGATTTCGTGGAGGTTTGCACCGAGCGTCTGATCATGGAACCCAATGTCCTGCGACGTGTGCGCTCTTTTGGAAGCGATGCGGTCGACAGCATCGAGGAGGCTACCGCCCTGGCCCTGGCCCTTGAACAGCAAGTGGAGGCGGCTCCGCCGCATTATAAACTGATGCCTGGCCTGCCCGAATCCGTGGTAGAGGAGGCATGCAGCAACTCAAGTTCATCGACGGCCAGCTCCTCGTCGAGCTCTAGCTCTAGTTCCAGTTCCTCCAGCAGCTCTTCTTCCTCCTCCTCCTCCTCCTCATCCGCGTCATCCTCGGCGCAGGGGAGCAGGAGCAGCCAGCAGCGGGAAAACGAAGTGGGAGACAGCCAGAAGACAGTGCGAATCAGCCTGGACAATCTCTCGAACATCAGTAGCACCGAGGACGAGGAGTGGCTGAAGGCGGCAGCGGTGGCCCAGCCCCTGGCCATCGATTGCCAGCCGGGGCAGTTGGTCAGCCAGGATGGGGAGGTGCGGTATCCCATTAGGAATTGGCTGACGCCCAGCAAGGAGTCCTCTAGAGGAGGATGCCCGCCACTTTCGCAGATCCTAGCTCCGCCTGGTGAGCGTCAGGGACCCCCAGCTCTCGTACCGTTCGGTGCTGCAGTTAGTCCAACTCCTCCATATCTTCCAGCGATGACCATCAAATTGACACTGCCGCCACGCTCCGCAGAGAAGCTGAACCAGCGCATGCAGTTGCAGCAGCAGCAGCTGCAGCAGATGCCGGGGTTGGAGCAGCCCTCGTCGTCTTCCAAGATGAGCGACCAAATGCACCAGTTGTTGCACGCGAAGCGGGAGCGCGTTGTGGCCAAGGTCAAGCTGAATCCTCCAGCCAAAGCAGCGCCAAAGAAGCCGAAGCCCAAGAAGCTAGCAGCCATGCGGGAGACGGCCAAACAGTCGAATCCGCCCATACAAAAAAAGCCCAAGAACATAGCCACAAAGAAGAAGGCAGCAGGAGCAGCCCCTGCACACGATCTCCCAACATCAACACACGAACCCATACCCACACAGTCACTGCCTGAACGGACTCTGGATCCCCTGCTATACGCCCTGAATCTCTCCGCCAAGAAGCAAGAGCCGGGAGCAGTAGCATCGGTAGCATTAGCAGCAGCAGCCACAGCAGGCCCAGCCCCAGTCTCAGCTCCAGCTCCAGCCCCAGCCCTAGAGATGGTAGTCAGCCACCAAATGACCAAATTGAGGGTGAAGGTGGCACGGAAAACGCAGGAGATTGCCGCACAGCCAGCGCCACAGAAACGTGGACGTCCCAGGAAGCCGCTGCCAAATGCAGATCAGGCCAAGACCACCACGAGACGTTCATCGCGTCTGATAGACAACAAAAGTAAGTGGGATCAAAACGAAGGGATAATCTCTTTGGATAATAATTATATTAATTTTTTCAAGCAGCTCCCGCTCCGGAGGACGGCGAGCCCAAAGAGACGGAAAATGAGGAGCAAACGAAGCCAAAAAAATCAAACGGCAAAGCGGCCAGCAAAAAGAAACAGTCGTCGTCGTCGTCGTTGGCGTCCAAGAAGCGGCCAGAGGATACAGCTACTGCTGCCACTGCAGGTCCCACACTGCCGATGGTGGCCGAGGCACAGACCACACAGCCATCGCCAGAGTTGCAGCAGCAGCTGCAGCTGAAGATAGCCACACCCGAAGAGGAGGACGACCTGGACTACGAGCTGGATCTTTTCCTGAGCAGAAGCCACGAGAAGAACACGTATAGCTTTGTCTATGCGGATGCGGGGCCCAGGCATAAGAGCCCAAAGCTAAGGCGGCGTTCGACTAGTTACTTCAAGAACTATCACATGCGCGTCATGATGGAGGACAATCAAATACACACGATGAGCATGGGCAGTCCTAATGTGTTGGGCATCAGCAGGCAACCGAGTAGCTCGATCAGGAACATACCCAAGAAGCGGATACGCCGCCTGACCAGCGGCAGTGGTACTGCTACTGCTACTGCAGCGGGACCTGGAGCTGGAGCTGGAGTCAGTGTCCAGCCAATGGCCACATCCACGCCAGTGGCGAACAAGCTAATGTCTCGCAGTGATCCGATGCAGCAGCAGGATGAGAATGATCTGGAAGTGGCGGCCATGTGAGTGAATCTCTCTCAGGAATCTCTCTGAAATCTGTCCATTAAACTGCCATCTCTCTCTCTCATTCAAGCAGCACTACGTGTGGCCACAAGATGAGCGAAAACAGACGCAGCGCAGATCAGCAGCAAGATCAAGTAAATGAAGCCATGGAAATTGAAGATATCGAGTCCATACTCTCCCATTTGCATGGCACTTGACTTGGCTTGTGCGGGTGGCTGGAAAACGAAACCGGAAAGCTGCTTTTCCCAAATAGATACGGAAACTATGTACAGTCTACACACATCCCTCTACTGCTCTCATAGCCCCCTCTCACTCGCATTCATGTAGATTTATATAGTGCATCATACATATATTTGTAAGGATTTAACTGAAGGCCTCTTTATTTTATTTTAGTTTTTTTTTAGTTTTTTTTGTTTAAAGAATTTATCAAAGCAATATGTGGACTTGCATATATGTGGAATACTTACTACCTATGACCTATAGACCTATCTAGACTAAAGATAGACGCATTGAAATCGTCTCGTTGGAAGTGAAGTGTTTTGTATAGTATTTATTTTCGTTTGTAAGGTCTAAGGAATGAGCAGACGGGACGGATATTCACTCAACATTCTCACATCACCTGAATAACAAATGTTTCATTTACGATACACATATGTATGTATTATATACTGCTACTATTATATCGATATCTAAATACCTATAGAAAGTTGATTTAATTTTTAAGCACAAGGAACAATTTAAATATTACAGTTTGTTTTTTTTTTTTTACGAATATTCGATACGAATGAATTGAACGCACACTCGTTAATGATGTCTCTGTGTGAGTGTGTGTGTGGGACCTGTCCTAAAATATTCCAACAAATATTGAAGAAGAAAAATGTTGTGGTTTTATTTTACGAACCAATTCAAACCAATCGCGTAATGTAAAAAATTAAAAATGATGTATAGGAATGAATTCATAGCAGTATTTAATGTTCTGATGCCCTCCACAGGCCCAGTTGTGTGTGTTGGGGAACATCTTCTTAAATATTATAAAAACTAAAATCAAATAAAAGAATTATTGTTTCCCACTATGCGAATCTTTCTCCTTAAAAATGTATGTAAAATATATTTGATGGCATTTTTTGGAACGAATGCAAGGAACAATCTGTAATCCTTTGATGGTGCAAGCAATTTTGTTTACAAAAATGTCTATATATGGAACGACTTCAAGCCGCAACACAATCTTGAGTGCTTTGAGGGCTGTGGCTGTCACAGCCATTTCTGTGGTGTTCTTAAATATTCATAGTCCCCGTTTTGATGGGCATTGCATGCGACATGTATCTATAATTGCAACAATTATGGCAGGACAGGCCATCGAGCTGGACAAGTCGAAGAGCGCCTAACAATGTCAATTTGGAAACGGAACTCAAGGCAAGCGGTTCATCATGGTGCAGCTGGTACTCCTCCTCCTAACTGTCGGCCACGCCCTGGCCAGTGCCGAAGAGCTGCTCAAGATAAGTGGGTTCCGCAGATTCGTGTTTCCCCTACAGACTCGTGAGTCTCTTTTTTTGGCTTTCGCCCACAGCCTTTTGGATAGAGCCCTTGCAGCGTGCAGAATTCGATGCGGATATGGTGGTGGTGCTCAAGGAGCTGGATGGCATGCGTCTGGACATCAAGGTGTCGGATGTCTCCATGCCATTGACCCGCTCCGAAGACGGCAAGGATATGCAGCGCTGTAAGCCCAGAAAGATTTTTGGCCCAATTTGATTACTACTTGAAAAAATCTCCCATTTTTTCTCTGATTCAGTCTGTGAGATCTTAGCCAGCGAGGGCACCAGCATTGTCATAGATCTCACCTACAGCCACTGGCCGGAGGGCTACAATCTGCTGCGTGCCCAGGGCATTGCCTATGTGCGGATGGAGCGCATGCTGCGACCCTTTCTGGAGATGCTTGGGGCCTTCATGCGCCAGAAGCGGGCCAATAATGTGGCGATGGTATTTCAAAATTCCAGGGATGCCGAGGAGGCCATGCAGCAGATGATCATTGGTTATCCATTCCGTACGCTGATCCTCGATGCCAGTGCGAGCGACAACCCCAGGGGGGATTTTGTGCAGCGCATACGAGACTTGAGGCCGACGCCCAACTATGTGGCGATGTTTGCCCGCGGTGCGGCCATGAATGGACTCTTCGATAAGGTGAGTCCTGGCGGGGCACGTATTGCGGAATTGATTGCACTCTCTTGGTTTTGTGATAGGCGCAAAAGGGTGGCATATTTGAGCGACCCACCGAATGGCACTTCGTTTTTCTGGATACCCGCGATCGGGTCTTCAAATACAAGCGCCAGGCGGAGCTGGCCAATCGTTTTACCCTGAATGCCCGGGCTATCTGCAGGTCCATGCCCATGCCGGATCTTTACTGCGGCAGCGGATTCACAGTAAGAGCAGCCACAGCCCCGCCAGGATTCGATCCTCTTTAAACACCTTTTCGTTCCTCTCTCTATCCTTCGATGCAGATGCAGCGGGCCATGCTGCTGAATGTGCTGCGGAGTCTGATCAATGCCGCTCAGATGAGTCCGGAGATGCCGCAGCCCATCTACGTGGAGTGCAATGGCACTTCCTCCTCCTCCACAACCGCCGCATCCTCGACCGAGCTGGCTACAGCGGAGCCCGAGCTAGAGGCCGACTCCTGGCTGAACTGGGTGCAATGGAGCAACTTTCTGACCTTTGCCCCGCCCGTGGATCGGTATCCGGATGAATTGGAGGCGGGTCAGCCCACTGCAGTCGTCCTGCCGGCCCTCACCTTTGCGGTAAACATCTCCGCTGGCTACTATTCCAGCGAGCATGAGGCCAAGACCGATCTGGCCATGTGGTCGACCCTGGGCGGTGGTACGCTGCGTCTCCTGAACGAAACGCTCAGTCCGGCGCGTCGTTTCTTTCGCATTGGCACCGCCGAGAGCATGCCCTGGAGCTACTTGCGGCGCAACGAGAAAACCGGCGAGCTGCTACGTGACCGCAAGGGAGAGCCCATCTGGGAGGGATACTGCATTGACTTTATCCAGCGGCTCTCGCAGAAGCTCAACTTCGAGTACGAGATCGTGGCCCCCCAGACGGGGCACATGGGCGAGATGAACGAGGAAAACGAATGGGACGGGGTGGTGGGGGATCTGGTGCGGGGCGAGACCGACATTGCCATTGCCGCCCTGAAGATGTACTCGGAACGGGAGGAGGTCATTGATTTCCTGCCGCCCTACTACGAACAGACGGGCATTTCCATCGTGATCCGCAAACCAGTGCGCAAGACATCCCTGTTCAAGTTCATGACCGTCCTGCGGCTGGAGGTGTGGCTGAGCATTGTGGCCGCCCTGGTGGGCACGGCCTTTATGATCTGGTTCATGGACAAGTACTCGCCATATAGCTCGAGGAACAACCGGGCCGCCTATCCGTATGCCTGTCGAGAGTTTACGCTGCGGGAGAGCTTCTGGTTTGCCCTCACCTCGTTCACGCCGCAGGGCGGTGGCGAGGCGCCAAAGGCCATTTCCGGCCGGATGTTGGTGGCCGCCTACTGGCTGTTTGTGGTCCTCATGCTGGCCACATTCACGGCCAATCTGGCCGCCTTCCTTACGGTGGAGCGCATGCAGACGCCGGTCCAGTCGCTGGAGCAGCTGGCCCGCCAATCGCGCATCAACTACACGGTCGTTATGGAATCGGATACGCATCAGTATTTTATCAATATGAAGTTTGCGGAGGATACGCTGTACCGCATGTGGAAGGAGCTGGCTCTGAACGCCTCCAAGGACTTTAAGAAGTTCCGCATCTGGGATTATCCGATCAAGGAACAGTACGGACACATTTTGCTGGCCATCAACAGTTCGTTGCCGGTGAAGGACGCCCGACAGGGGTTCGACAATGTGGATGCCCATGAGAATGCCGATTATGCCTTCATCCATGACTCGGCGGAGATCAAGTACGAGATAACCAGAAACTGCAATCTGACGGAGGTGGGCGAGGTGTTTGCCGAACAGCCATATGCGGTGGCCGTCCAGCAGGGCAGCCACCTGGGCGACGAGCTCAGCTATGCTATACTGGAGCTGCAGAAGGATCGGTTCTTCGAGGAGCTCAAGACCAGGTACTGGAATCAATCGAATCTGCGCAATTGTCCGATCTCCGAGGACCAGGAGGGCATCACCTTGGAGAGCCTGGGGGGTGTATTCATAGCCACACTCTTTGGCCTAGTCCTGGCCATGATCACCCTCGGCCTGGAGGTGGTGTACTTTAAGAAGCGCAAGGACACCTTGGAGGCAACCATCACCCAGGTGAAACCCATTGAGGCGGCAGAGGAAGGCGGCACTGCCACTGAAGCTGAAGCAAGCAAAAAGGCCGCCTGGCATATACCACTGGACAAGCACAGATCGGCCAAGGTATCGCCGCCGCCCTCCTTTGAGGTGGCCACATTCCGGGGCAAAAAGATGCCGCCAAGGGTAACGCTGGGCGATGGCAAGTTCAAGCCGCGGCTTGGTCTACAATCGCGTCGAAAATTGGGAGCACTTGATGCCCCAATGGGTTACATGGAATGATTATATTGACAGTTAGGGACCGGGCCCAGTTCTACCTGAAGGCCTTCCGACGGGAACGTTGGATTATATTCAGAAGCGTGCACCGGAGCAGCTCTAAGTAATTACTTTAAGTTAAAAACACATATTTATTCCAATTTCAATAATTTAAAAATAAATTTCATCCCACGGTACGTGGTCGGTAAATCAAAGAGTGTGATCGTGGAACAGTGCAGTGAAATTTTTTTGAAAATGAGACGGTATATTTCTGAGGGTCAGACCGTATATTTTATGGATATATTCGCAGTCACGCTGTTTTCTTGCCACCATGTCCAGCTCACACACCTTGAAAGTGTCTATACCTTTCTTAGTATTTTATAAAATTTTCCAGTATTTTTTACGACTAGTTATAGACCCATCCTCTTGTTCAATGCACCAATAAAATGCCATTTGGAGCCATGTCCTAGGCTAATATTCTTATACTAATTTGGGATTAGCATCGAAATCCTAATGGTTTGACTATTAAATCTAAATTTGTTGAAAAATGTAAGAAAAATAAATGGTGAAATTGTATGGTCTATGTGCAGTTGCCAGTATGTCGCTTTGCGACATTTGGAATCAATTTTGAATATTTTACATTACATCTTTTTACATTACATATTTTATATTACAGAAATACTATAAAAAAAGTATAAGAATATGCAAGGTGTGAGTCCTAAACGGGGAACAATTCTGTGTGCTCTACAAAATAATCGCAATACGTAACTATAATCTGACTTGAGTCTTGACATTTCTTGTTTAAACCTTGTTTTATAAACAATTCAATTCAGATGAGATAGTCGTGTAGGAACGATTCCGTCAATCTTATAAAATGGTGTCAAAAAATTCGTCAGTATATTTTTGGTTTATTTTGTAAATTTGTGACGTATATTTCAGTCAGACCGTATATCTTATCAATAAGTCCGTCACAAATAAAACGAAATAAATTCGTAATAAATTTTGATAAAGGTGTGAAAAATTATAAGTTATAGGTGTCAAACGAAACCAATCAATTGCAACCTTTCAATCAAAGCAGGCAGGCACTCTAATTTCTTGTCTCTTCGGGAACAGAGTCACAAAAGGTGCCACGAGACGACAACATCGCGAGAGGCGAAAATTCAACAAAATGCGTGCGCTGAGGATATCCCCGAAGCAGGTGCCACCGGCGCACATCTTAAATATTAAATCAATAGTTTTGCTGGTTATTGTCACACTATTGAGCGCTCCCCATGCTGTGCTATCGCGTAAGCATCACCTGGAAGTTCGCGTAAGTTTGTAAAGACATGTCGACAGACCACCCCCCACGTCCCATCCATCCCACCATCCTCAACCGGCAATGGCAATGGCACCTGACTCATATTTTCTTGTAACCAACTATCACACAACACAGAACGACATGCGGCCCTACATTGCACTGAGCACATTCGGTTTTTACACCAACGGCCATTTGGATGTGCAGCTCAGTAAGCTGACCATTGACGGAGAGAATTCCGCGGACTTGGTAAGTACATATAATGTAGAAACCTTAAGCTTAAGCATCCTTCTAACCCTTGTCTGACTGTGCAGTTCGGTCTCTCGCTGGACAAGACAACCATTGACCAATTGAATCCCTATCTGGACTCGCATCAAAACAAATGCATACTCGAGGAGCCGCCAAATATGCAGACCAGGGGACCCATACTATTCTTTGTCCTAGATCTGAAGGAGCTAAAGTGAGTAGCCGTTTGGCAAAGCGCAAACACACATACACACTGACACGTTTCCCTTCATACACAGAGTTCGCGTAAAGTGCTCTCCCGAATGGGGCAATATGCACATCTACAAAGATATCACCTCGCGGCACAAGCGCAACTCTTTGGCCAAGGTCAGTGACTCGGCGCTCTTCAGGCAGCGTCGTGATGTCCCACCGCAATATTCTGCCGAAGGCGCCGATGACTTGGACGAACATTCAGTGGAGGATCCCACTGATACGGAGGAGCTGAGACAGCCACATGTCTTAAAACCATCGCCGCCAATCGCCGTAGTGGGTAAAATCGAAATGCCAGTCGATGCAAAGCCCAGCCCCAAAGTCTCGGCTGATCCCAAAATGCAGAATGGGGCTGCTCCCGAGACTGAGAAGGCAGCACCGGCCAAGATTCCCGAACAACTTATCCTGGACAAGGAGCGTTTAAATTCGCTGCCTAATCCCGTATACAAGCCACAGAAGAAGGCTGATATCAAACAGGAGGCTGCTGCCGAGCCAAAGGCTTCTGCTGCTGTTGCTGCACCCAAGGAAGCGGAAGTTGCACCAGTCCCCAAACAGCAGCCAGTGGAAGCGCCAAAGGTGGCTTCAGTCCCACCAGCAGCTGCTGTAGCAGCAGGCTCAGCGGCTGACACTGAATCCGACAAGACCAAAGTCGAAAACGGTGCTGAAGAAGTGGCGCCAGCTCCTGTTAATCCCTGGCCCTCTGAGCTGGACCCCTTTCCCGGCGAAAGTCTGCCCGAAATGGGGGAGAGCAACAACTTGTACAAGTCGTACAAGCAATCGCATAATGCACTGTGCAAGGACTCTACGCTGCCGCTGGACAGACAGGTCATCCAGGGCGTGACATATTACAACTTTACCTTCTCCATGCTGGTGGCCTCACTGCTGGATGAGGGCCTCTACAACTTGTACTTCCATGCCTGTCCCAATTACTATGCGCCCAAAATAGTGTCCTTCAATGTGAGTTGCCTGCCCGCCCCTCCCCGCGAAATGGGGCTATATGTTAACCATTTTCCTTTAACTTATGTTTTCTCTCAGGTGGACATTGAGGAGAATAACAATGGCAACTATCTGTCGGCGGGCGAGATGCCCCTGCCCGCGCTGTACTTTATGATGAGTCTGCTCTTCTTCCTGTCCGGCCTCTTTTGGGTGTTCATCCTAAAGAAGAGCAAGCACACTGTGTATAAAATTCATTACTTGATGGCTGTGCTGGTGTTCCTCAAGTCGCTCTCCCTGATGTTCCATTCGATCAACTACCATTTCATTGAGAAGCGTGGCGAGCACGTGGAGACCTGGGCCATACTCTACTATATAGCCCATCTGCTCAAGGGGGCTGTGCTCTTCATAACAATTGTCCTCATTGGCACTGGCTGGACCTTCATCAAGCACATCCTCTCGGACAAGGACAAGAAGATCTTTATGATCGTGATTCCACTGCAAGTGAGTACCATCTGGAGTGCCATCCATTTGGATCGAACCTTCTGTACTATAACTTGTCTTCATTCTGCATTCTGTGTGTATAGGTTCTGGCTAATGTGGCCCAAATCATCACAGACGAATCGGATCAGAGCGATGCCGAGTTCCGCACTTGGCACAACATTTTCTTCTTTGTGGATCTGCTGTGCTGCGGTGCCATACTGTTCCCCATTGTGTGGTCCATACGGCATCTGCATGAGGCCTCGGCCACCGACGGCAAGGCGGCCATCAATTTGCGCAAACTGAAGCTCTTCCGCCAGTTCTACATTATGATCGTTTGCTATATCTACTTTACGCGCATCATTGTCGATCTGCTCCAGATGACGGTGGTGTTCCAGTATGCCTGGCTAGACGAAATGTTTCGCGAGATGGCCACCTATGTGTTCTTCGTGCTGACGGGCTATAAATTCCGCCCAGTTTCATCGCATCCATATTTCACAGTGCCCGACGACGATGATGACGATGAGGTGGAGGTACTCACTGGTTCTGGCCTTACCGAAACAGTGCATCGCATCAAGCCCCTGAATCGTGGCAGCCATGGCAGCGGCTCTGCTGGTAGCATAACCATCATCGAGGGCAATGAGGATGAGCGCGAGAATCTCATTGCAAAACGAGAATCAAGTCATGAATACGATTAGGCGATAAGAAAACACACACTATACAACCAATCCAATCTATTTAAAAATATTCCAATGCATAGTCTTTAGTCGTCCCACATGTTTCCCTCTCCCCCCACGAAGGTCTCGCCGGATCTTCGCCCTGAAATTCTAGCAATATACTACACAAGTTTACCCGCGAGGAAGAAAGGATTGTGTGTGTGTGTGTGTGAATTAGGTCTTATTTTGGTTCAGTCCAGCAAACCTTTTATTACGTTTAGTATAACATTATGATACACTACAAATACTTGAGTTTAAATCATCATCGTAAATAAGAAACGAAAAGTAGCTACCAGTAGCTTAGAATTGAATGGGAAGAGAATAATCTCAATTTGTGAACGGCACAGCATTCAGTGGACTTCAGCGAGAGAGAGAGTGAGAGAGAGAGGAGGCCCCGTCCAGCGCCCAGGCGGAAGACACATTTGTAAATAATTACCTAATAATCCAACGCACCGAACGCTGCTTCTGAATCTTCCCCGGCCCCCCTCCCCCCTCTACTATATATAAATACACTATACTGTATATGTTTAAACTTATGTATAATTTTAACAAAATATAACAAAGCTTTAATATATAAACCAGGAGATTAAACATCTTATACCTATTCCCAACCCATGGTTCAATAAGTCCCCGACTTTAGAAGTTTTAATTTACTCTTAAACATAGATCTTAGAGTCCAGTCAAATGTATTCTATAGAAGTTCCACGCTCCACGTCCTTTTTGTAAATGGTTTTGTAAGGCTCCCCTAAAAAAACTCGCTCAAATCAATTATGATTATGATTTAAGTTTGTTTGAGTTTTGGCAATTGTTAAAAGAGCTAAATCATGTATGTGACTTTGGTAGATAAATTTCCATGACCATGGGACTTGTAGCGTTGCGTCCTGATAAAAAACCAAACGCTGTGCGCACCGCGGCAATACTTTTTGTATGCCCAACACATCATGGTAGAGTGTTTAACGAAAAATTCTGTTCTCTGCTATCTCAAGCACTTTTTATTTTGCCAATCGGTATATATCATTTTGCTTCCAGCATTCGCAATTAGCTTGATGATTCGTGGGCAAGAGTCCTGCTGTGGTATCAATCAAGCCCGTTCTTGGCTTCAAAGTTATTATCAATTGCTTGCCATCAGTCTACACAAAAGGTTGTAGCTTCTAAGAAGAATATAAATAATTTGCAAACATTTACACTTGGGGGACGGGAGTAATCGGGGGACCTTTATTGTGTGATACTATTTCTATCATTATTGATTGCTAAACTTTGGTATAAACTGAATGGTGTAGATGATGTAGGTGCCCACCGAACAGACAATCTGTAAGCACAAAAACAGTTGGAAGGACCTTTTAGAAATCTCTCTCTGGATAGGATACTCCCAAAACGCACCCGCGTGAGCAGACAACAGTCCAAGATGGTGACGCCCAGGCAATTGATGCGCAGCGGCTGATGAAGGATTTGCAAAGAAAAGTTCTGAATCTGCAAAAATGATTCAAGATTACAATAAGAGATGGTCTCGCAGTAGAGTTAGCTGGGCGTGCGTTACCTGCAAGGAAAGATCTGCAAAGCCACAACATCCCGTTTCCGTGACAATATTGTGCAGCTGATAGGCTATCCGTGGAACTATCACCATGCAGCTCTGCGAGGCATAGATGAAGGCGGGTATCTCGAACAAGGCGGGCAATATCAAAGAGTAATCTGTACACCCCCAAGCAGAAAGACTCGTATGCACTCGGATGGACCTACTCGAATGGACTTACCCAAATTGGCAACGGATATGTATATGGTGTAGTACATAAAATAGCAATCGACTGCAATCCGCACATAGATCGAGAGCAGAACGGTCAGTGTGGAGAAGCGAAAGGCCCGCTGGAAGCAGGTGTACATCTCATGCACATCGTTGTAGACGCACTGCTTCTGCAACAGCCGGCGGCGCAGGAAGTGCCCAAAGTCCTTGAAGCTGCGACCCGTTAGGCTGGCAAATCGCGAGTACTCTGCCAGTAGGGAAAGCTCCCGTTCGAGCTGGGCCAGCTGCTGGCGGAGCAGCTCCATGTGCAGCACAAACTGTACGTTCCGCATGTACATGAGGAAAACGAGCGGCTCGAATGTGCTCCAGAAGAGTATCAAGTGCATGTCGGCGGGCTGCACCTGCCACAGCCAGATATTGATGAGGATCTCCCCCACCAAGATGCCGTACAGCGAGATCAGGTAGCGTCGGTACTGACGTAGTTCGCTGCGTATGGAGACTGGCCGGGACAGCCGCCTGCTGCCGTGCTGCTGCTGCCTGTTGAGCTTCCCATGGAGCCACCAGAAGCGGGCCAGGGGCCGCTGGCTGGCCATCGTCTCAGCATAGATGGACAGCACTGCAAGCTCTGAGAATATGAACTTCATGCCATCGTTCACGCAGCCGAACAGGTCGCCCTTATAGAGAAACTCCAGATCGCTGGTCAGGCACACGGCTACCATTCCACTCAACCCCATAAGGATGAACAGGCTCCAGGCTCGGAGCAATTGGCGCGTCCTGTGCGGCCGTTCATCCCCTGGCAGAGGCAGGCCATGGAAGCCGAGCACCTGGTAGAAACGCAGATGAAAGTGCAGGACGCGGCCCAAACGCCCGCTCATCATATACTGGCCTCTGTCCTCGGGCTTCTGACTAATACTACTGGCTTTCAGGCTTATCCCTTCGACACATCTTCAGTGGCTGATGGCAACTGCTGATTGGACACCAGGGATACCATTAAGCGTCCAAGGTTTTATACATTATGTGTGTCAGGAAAAAGGAAACAGATTGGAAATTATAAGCCATCAAACTGGTGTACCCTGTACCTAAGAGTTTTGGCTATTTATTTCATAAAGACGCAACAGAAAACTGAATTTTCCAATCAGAATCGAAGGTTTTGTATGCTAGAAGTACTTCTTAAAAATTCGTACCTTCTGAGCATCCGTTTAGGGCCACTGCTCCCATTTTTTCGAGAGTTATTCAGGCAGATGCAAAAGCGTCAAATAGAATGCCTGTGAATGTAATCACAAAATACATGTCTTGCGGATCGATAAAGTGGTTACTATATCCGGTACTCAAAGGGAGACCCCACAGCTGGTTTAGGGTACCTTTCTAGTAGCACCTGCCCGTCTATAATTCTATTATTTAAGCTTATGGGTCACCGAATGACTGACATAACTCATTTCATTAGCTTAAGTAGCGACCGGATCGGGTCGGAGAGAGGAAGTTCTCTCGCTCTCTCTCTCTCTTTCTGTCACTAACTCAGAGCGTTTAAAACCACTTTCCAACCGGTTCCCAAACACAATAAAGACATATGCACATAGGTACTCGTACATTCAAAGTCTATATTTTTCTGCTCTGCTCTTATCAACTATAAAAAAAAGGGCAATAAATAAGTCTACATTTAGGGGGGGCGGGGCGGAGGGGCACCTCCGCTACAGATAGGGCCCACTGTACTGATAGCCACCGCTGCCGAAGCCCTGGACATGACCTACGTTGTAGCTGTCGACACCGTTGTACGTCTCGGGGGCGGCACTGTTGAATCCCGTGGCCTCTGGCCAGTCCACCAGAGCCGGTCGACGACGACGTGCTGGAGCTGGCGCCCCATACGTGTCCGCCACCTCATCCTCGTAGCCTTCGCTGCCGCTGGGCAGCTGTGGAGATGGTCGGAAGCCCGAGCTGCTTCCACTACTGCTGCTGCTCGGCCTGGAGTAGTCATAGCCGTAGGCGGACGACGACTCCTCGGGGGCCTCCAGGGTGTAGGCCGGAGCCCGGCCCGACTTGGGGCCGCGTCCAGAGTGGGCGTAGGGAGCAGAGTAGCTGTAGCCCGGCTCCGTCTCCGTCTCCTGCTCAATGTGCTCCTCGACGGGAGCGGGCTCTGCGTAGGCGCCACCAATATGATGCGGATAGGATCGCGATGAGTGCGGGTAGTGGTAGCCCAGATCGTCATCATCCTCCTCCAGATGGGCATGGTGTTGCTTGTGGTGATGGTGGTGGTTCAGCTGGGGGCGGGACTCAATCACTCGGTACGTCTCCACACTGTGCTCCGGATGATCCTCATACCCGTAGCCGCTGTGCACTGGAGCTGGGGCTGGAGCTGGCCTGGAGCTGTGCTGCTCCTCGATGATCGTGTAGGTGTTTACCTTCTTCTTGGGTGGCAGTGGCAGTGGTGGCGGCGGTGGTGGCTTCTTGTTGAACGACTCCGTGAGGTGATCGGCCAGCTCCTTGGCGTGGTTCAGATACTCGGCGTGCTCGCTCATGTGCAGCGGCTTGTCCAGATCGGAGAGAATGACGCTCTCCAGCAGGGGACTGGGGTGCTTCGGCTTGGGTGGTGGTGGTGGTGGTGGTGGTGCTCCACGACCCCGCTGCAGGCGCTGCAGCTGATGGGGATGCGGATGGTGATGGTAATGGTGAATCACCTTGGCCACCTCGGGCTCACCGCCCTGCTCCTTGGGCACATGCACCTTGATGTGGACATACTCGTTGCCAAAGGCGGCCACCGAGGAACACCAGTAGAACACCAGCAAGAGGAGGAGCAGCGGCCATCGGGCCATGCGTCCCATGGTCATGGTCGGAGGCGGCTTCGAGTGCATTCTGTAGCTGTCGACGGGTATCTGGTTCTCTTGAAGCGCGCACGCGGTCTGATTCGTTGTCATCACCTTATGGCCTATAGACCGCCGCCTTGCCAAAATTGGTTTAAACCGAAATCTTTCTTTTGTCAAAATTTATATACAACAGCCCAGACCAGACGAAGCTGCGACGCAGCTCTTGACCTACGTTCCTCCCGGGCATTGGGAAAATACGGTGACCATTGAATGCCCTTCTAAATGAGGGGGAAAAATTAAAAGGAGAACAAAATGATCTATTACTAATTCGGAATCTGTAGAGAATGCGATGCAATTTATATATTTATAAATGATGCATACTTTATTCTCTTTCCTAAGTGTTCTACAATAAAGGACAGAACTGAAAGGCGCTCTAGATGAAATACATATGCTGTCAGCGTTTATTTTTGCAATCAATTGAATGTATAGTACATATATCTCTCTTTATACGATTAATGCCAATTAAACTGAAATACAAACAGAGGGCCAAGCAGCAAGATGATTTTTTAAGACACGCGAGATGTACGATCATTTGTACATATCATAAATGTATTTTTAAAGTGGATATTCCCAAATATCCAATTAATACCTAAAAATAAGCAGTAATAATGTAATTAATACTTCTTAATACTTTCTGATGATTCTCGTCCCCCCTCCTTGAATCGGACTTCACCGATAGCATTGTGGTTAATCGATAAGCATCGATAGACTGCAGCAAAAAGTGCACATGCCCTGCGATTGGGAGAGTGTAAAAGGCTAACTGTAAAATGTCATTTTGTGGTAACCACCGTTTGACAGTCTCTCTTCTCTGCTCTTCTCTCTTCGACTCCACTCTCATCCACTCTCACTCTCTTTGGCCCCGCTCCCGCCGTCTAACCACCTAGCGGTTGTTTTTGTTCATTTCTTATTTGTTTTAACTTTTGTTTTCATTATCATTGAAATGCGGCGCATATTTTTCTAGCCGCCAGCCAAATAAAATCGTAACGAAAGTTCATTTCATACAAATTCAATAATGAAAGCGACTCTTCTTATGCCCTCTCCTCTCTTCCTCTTCCTCTTCCTCATCGACCATCGACGACCCATGAACGACTTCTGTTCGATCGTTAAGGCCAACTTCCAGTTGATAAATTGTAGCGTCCAATCTAAACCTATATTCCGCAAATTCTCACTTATATTATATAATATCGAATTATTTGTGATTATTTTTTAATGTTGTTTGTGTGTGTGCATTCCAATGTGAAATTAATAAACATTTAATTGTGATGCTAATGTGGCAACACTGAGAAAGTTGCGCTGCGGCATTCATTATCATTAGCGCATCATCATCATCGTCATCAGGAAAGTTCATCATCATAGCTCTGTATATAGAAACAAGCAAAGAAAAATTCCAAATTATAATAATACAAACATTAGTTAAAATGCAACTCGTTTTTATAGAAACGTCTGATTGACTTGTAATTTATTCGCACTTGATTTTTCGTGTGGAAATTCTAAAACAAGCCCCGAAATCCAATCTATAATTTGAGATCATTTCTCAGATTACCCATAAATTATCCACAAACCCATAGCAGCATGGAAATTTACCAAGCCAGGCATGGGTAGGGGTATGGGTAGGGGTATGGGTAAGGGTAAGGGTATCTGTGGAGTAGATTCGCCCCATGCTTTGTATCTGGGGAATGCGGTTTCTGTTCATGCAAAATCGAACCCATTTAAATGAGATATTAAATGAAATTAAGACAAGACAAGAAAATAAGAAATGAGGAAGGGGAAAACAACAAATGTGTTTATAAGCAAAAATATTCATGGTCATAGTTGTAAGGGGGGGGCACTGGTATTACCTACGTATACGTAACCAAATACACTTCCAATGTGGCCTGGCCCCAAAAAAAAAAAGGGCAGAACAATATAAGCAATGACGGAAAATAGGAGACCCCTAACCCCCAGCATTAAACCGTAAAGCCTATTAGCCCTCTAATTGACTTAAGAGGTACAGGCGTTTCCATATGTAAATGCGAATACGTATACGATAAGTAGACCAACGCACAATCAACTTTATGACGATTATTAAACAAGCAAGTACTTAGTAAGGTGAGAAGTTCCAGCTCCTGCATAACTGTTTCAGATGCCAACTTAGGACAATTTTAGACATTTAGGGTTAAGCAATATTATGTTATTTTTATAGCGGCGGCTTAGCTGAAGCCAGATAAATGTCCATACACGAGATCGATAAGCAACTACTGCGGTGAGAGATTAGCATAGAACTAGTTTCGGGCGACGCCGGCAGATCAAAAGAAAGTACTCTTAGGCGGTTCATTAATGCTTTATAAAAGCAATCAAAAAGTGTCCAAGTTACGATGATTCATCGGCGGCTGGCCCGAACAGTGACAATTCCTCGTTTTGCCTATTCATTTTTATCGATCACAGAAATCCCTTTGCTATCGATCACAGGCGAGTGAAACACTATTTCATTCACCCATGCAATCACAGGTAATCCCAGATCACAGATAAGTGGATGCCTATCGCTGCCTTTGCGCAGAAATTCCTTATCTATCGATCACAGGGGAGGGGACAACTATTTCGTTTAGCCATGCAATCCTATACTTCTCCTCGCACCTTTTTATCGATAGTAGCTAAAAGGAGAGCGGACAGGTGGGTGGTGCGTGCCAACGCTGACGTCAGCGCGCTGTCTTAGTTGCTGCCTTGGCCAGCAGCGGCAGCGGCAGCGGCAGCGTCGCGTCTGTTTGGCGTGCGGTTCGTCATCGTTGTTGCTGCGTCAGCAGAGCAGAGCAGAGTCGGTCGGTTTGTTTGTTGGTGGGGTTGATGTGTTGATATTGTCAAGAGTAAGTGCTTCGGCAGCGCCGACGCTAGACGCCTTCGTCTGTTGCTGCTGCTGCCGCTCGATCCGGCCCGGCCTGGGACGGCGCCAAAACAAACCAAAATCAGTTTGAATTCTGCCTTCAAGCGCTCTAGAACAAAGCTGGCCAAATCCGAGAGAGTCCACACACAGATTAGCCTTACACTCTATTTGCTCTGGAATTAATCAAAGAATACAGCAGTGTCTAGTGTCTAAATACGTATATTAAATAGTAAATTTCTTGTGTTGTTTTTTGTTGCTCTTAGTTTTTTGAGTGCACATTTTATTGCGTTACTTTGAGATACGTATACGTACACCCTAGCCAAGCCAACCAATACAAGGCAGCAGCGATAGCGTTTATAGAACGCGAAAGCAAAAAGAACAGAAGGAATTGTTATCAACACTACTGCTCCATTCGCTCCAATTGCTCCAATCAGTGCAATGTCCTCTGGAAAGATTCTACCACGGCGCCAGGCGGTGCCCGTCCTCTACACTCGCGGCACCCACTACGAGGTCGGCTTCGATATGGTAAGTCGTGTGACCTTTGCTGGGGAGGGTCCTTGTCCTTCTGCCCCCATTCCCATCAACTCATTGGTGGCTCACGCCATCTGAATTTTTGATTGCACTTCCTTCAAACTTACCCTGAGGTAATTATCTGGACTATTGTGTCTCCAAGAACTTGAAAAGATACCTATTTTGGTTATTTGTAGAGCAACTAGAACACTGAACCTTGATTTAATGGCTTAATGATTGGCACTTAAATCATATACCAAATTGCTCTGACCTAGATTCAGTGCTTAAGAAAGAGTGTATATAGGATATCTACTATCTTTACTGGATTCGACTGTTCCCATGCTCTCTGTACTGTATAATTTGTGTTCTGAGATAAGCGCAAATTGTATTATTATTTTCACACAATTTCGGATATCCTTTTTGCACTCTCAAGAATCCCATCAATTCGTGGTTCAGGGGCTGAGCAAAACCGCAAGAGTCAAAGGGCTGTAAAGCTTTATCTGTTCTGTGGTTGGGTTATCTTTACTGCAGCCGGAGAGACCCACATTCAAGTCTCGGACCCAACCACAGTCGTTTTGCTAAATAATGCAGATTCGTGATTCTCGCGGCTTTGTCTGGCATTGACAATCGGGTTTAAGATCCAATTTGCATGGAGTTTTACGGAGTTTAGCCGCTTCCACGTCCGCGTCCGCGTCCGCGTCCGTGCCTGTCTCCGTGTCCGTGTCCGTCTCTGGTGCCCACCCAAAAGGTTATTTTACAACAAATAACCCCCACAACACCCATTCATTATTCATGCTGCTTTTTGTTGTTGCTGGGTTCTTTCTTTATTCTCTGTTGTATTTTAGTCGTCGTTTGTTTTCCTTACACTGGCGATCGATCGGTCGTGATCGATTATATTTTTGTTTCACTTTTTTATAGGTATCAAATACACAAAAACGGATTTGCAAATAATTCTCCATAGGGGGGCGGGCCTTTATTTTCATTTTTTTGTTGTTGTTTTGTTTTTTACAAAATTAGAAAGCATTTAATCATTTAATTATAATGGAAATATATTGTATATTTAATTGCTTTACAGGGCCGCACGTTTGGCTCGATGATTAAGAACTTTTTGCTCTTATCGAAGCCACTGATCGAGACCTACTTGCCCCTCTATCAATCCCCAAAAGGCAGTAAGTACTCATGAGAGCATCGCTCACACCAGATGGGTGGCTCGAGTGGATCGAATGGATCGAATGGATTGGATGGGATAATGATTCATTCATTTTCAGAGCAAATCTATAATGAGACCCTGGAGTCGGTGAAGGATAGTTTCCCCCAGTATATACGCGAGCTGGAGGGCGTGGCCGATGGTGCGGAGGTGGAATTCCATAAGGTGAGAATAGCTTACAGATAGTAGCGCTAGCCCCCCCCACCCCAATCCAATTAGTCAGGGGTTGGGGGGGTTGCTAATTAGCACTCAACTGTAAACTGTAAACGACCGACTAATAGTAATACTCGTACATCGAATTATCTTCGCTGTGTTGCAGTGCACAATTAAGTGCCCATTAAATCGAATACAATTGTTGGAGCTTTTGGCTCAAATATTGTAATTTGACGCTAATAATCCGCACTGCAAGGCTGCCGACGGAGTGTGGGCGGGTGGGCGGTCGGGCGGCGTTCTAACGGTGTAGCTAAAGCAGAACTTAAAGTCGTGTCGTGCAATCGAATAATCTCTGGGACATTGCGTGTCTGTGGGGTCTCCAATGACAACATTAAAGGCGATACCCACCGAGTGCAGTGCTCTCAGTACAGTGTTAATTGGCTAAAAGGGCCCCCACCCCCACCGTTTGATGATCTAACAATGCAATTAGTAGCTGCTTAGTCTTTCCTTTAATTTTATTGTAATCAATGAAGTGGCTTCCTCCCCTCCCCCCCCTCTCCCCATCCCTCTCTACGTGCAGTCCAACAATGCCATGCCTTCTGCGATTCCCACTTAGCCGGCGACCACTGTGCACAAGCAGAACTCGAAATGTTGACCGCCGTGCCCGTGCCTCGTTCAGAGCATAGACATTGAACTAGTTCCTGCTGCTGCCGCTGCCACTGCCGCTGCCGCTGCGTACGAAAGTGATAGACAGGCCATCGTCTGTATACCCTAGTCAGCAATGAGGTATCACGATTCTTACCAACTGTTTGCCAAGCGGAAAAAGAAGCCATCTCATGGCTCTGCAGCTGTCCCAATGAATATTACAATATTTGTCATATGTACGTTTTGCACACCAAAACTCCCTCTCTACATTATATAACTGCCATTAAAAGCCAAAAACTTGTTTCTAAGTTTATGCAATTGTAAAGTTTACAATTAATTTCGGGTCAAGAGACTTACGAGCCCCTTGTACTACATACATACATATATTCATTCGATCGTAGCTCTAGCGATAAGCTAATGGTGGGAGTAATATATTTGTATCAAATTTTGGTGGCCCCTCATTGTTTGTGCATTGTACAAGGCGATTGTAAGGCCTAAACTATGGGCTTACAAGGAATATATCAATGTAACTTTATTGACTTCATTTTGGGGAGTACATAGCCAACCGAAATTTGATCAAGGTAGGTCTTCTACTGCTAGCTCCCATTGCAGGTGCAAGAGTATCTTCAGCTGCGACCCTGAAGCTACGAGACTTTCCTTCTTGTTTAAGCCAATTTGTAGAGCACAGCACACAAGAGCAAAGGGGAAAGAGGAAAGAGAAGACAAGCCTGAAAAATGCCTCAGATCGAACCGAACCCTTGCTTGGCTTCATTTGGCTTTTGCCATGGCCGCCATTGATATTACGATTGACATTGGAATTGGTATTCGGATTAGGCACATGCTCATTAGAATGGCCAATGCAGAAGTCTCAGTGCAGTGCAGTGCAGTGCGGCTGCCTTGCTCGATAATGTGTTATAATTTTTTTCGTCCATTCAGCTTTGGCCAATTAATTGCACGCAAAAATCGCGCTGACCCTGGCCGCAACTGTGAGCATCTACATCTATCTTAATCTCCCAGCTCCATCACAGCACAAGGTACACGCCACACGCCACACGGTACACCCCACACGGTGCGGTGCGTCGTCTTGGCTGTTCTGTGGCTGGTGTGCAGGTGCTGGGCGGGGGTCTGAGGCTGGGACTGTGGCTGTGGCTGTGGCTAACACGGGTACTAACGTACGACAATTAATAATTCAAATTAGCAGCATTAACATTGCGTTAGGCTGTCCATCTGATGTGCTGCTGATCTCCGATGCAGTTTCTAATAATAAAAGTCTGATTAGCATGGAATTGGATCGGTAACGAGGTGCAGGTGTCTTGTGTGGCTATGCGATGCTAAGCGATGCTAAGCGATGCTCTTTGTCATTGCTACTTACAATATTTCAAACGAAAACAAGAAAGAAAGGCTAGCCGAAGTGTCAAGTACGACACGACCTAGACACAGACGCAGACGCAGACCCAGTCCCAGTCCCATGGGTGTTATCTGAGTGATTTCCATATACACCAGTAAAGAATCTTATAAATAAAGAGATTAGCAGACGTACGTGGTTATACTTTAATATATATATTTAATTTTGTTTTTAAAACGTTTATCATATTGCTTTTTAGCTCTTTCTGCTGCACCTTGACGACATCTTGCCGCAGGCATTGAAGCTACAGCCGCGCAACAATAACCAGCCGACTGGCTGCTCCACAATCATTGTCAACCAAAAGAATTGCGTAGGTAAAGCCTAGAGGAGCCCCAGAAGATTGCTTTAATACAGTGCGTCTCGTTTATAGCGACTGTTGGGCCACACCGAGGATGCCCTGACGGAGACCCTCAATCATTACTATTTTGTTGACGCGCACATCATCAGCGACAAGCCGCAGGGCAAATACAATGTCAAGGAGGAGCACTTTATGTCCCTGTGCTACGCCGGACACTTGCCCGGCTACACCATGAATCAGAATTACCATGGCCTGGTCTTCAGCATCAATACGATCAGTGCGGAGCTGTTGCGCAGTGGCAAGACACGTGAGTGTACCCCTTTCGATGGGATGAGACCTTTAATGAGGGTTTGCTTTAATGCTTTTTAGCGAGACACTTCTTGACACGAGCCCTGCTGGCCACCAGCAATGTGGACGATGCTTTTAGGGTGCTCAGGGACGCAGGTGTGGGAGCAGCCGATGCCTGCTCCATTAACTTTACCTTCTTGGCGTGAGTATCAAAGGGACTTTGGTCAACGGTCAACAGTCTGCAGTTTTCGTGTTCCTTGATTTCACAGCGATCCCCGCCAGATGTTCTACAATGTGGAGATGGCGCCTTCGCCAGACCGTAAGAATGAGTCGCTTTTGAACATCAAGGAGATACCCTTGGGCAATCATAACTACCATGTGAATCAGTGAGTACCAGAGACCTACCAGTAGTCATTAGCGCAGCTTGAGTAATTCTCGATTCGATCCTAGATTCGATCGCATTCACCAGGATCAGGCCAACGCTCTGATGGTCGACTCCAGCGTGTCGCGAATGCAGGCGTTCGGCACCTACAAGCCGCCATCGAGCGAGCAGGATGTGCGCCACATGCTGGGCGATGTCTCTGGGGGATTGTATTGCGTGTGGCGCGAGAATGGCAGCTGTGACGAGGTGGTCAAAACCATTGCCGTTGGCATTTTCGATCTCACCGCTAGGACCATGTCGCTCTATTCGGACAATCCCAGTCAGACGGAGCCTCACTGCAGGTTGCCTCTGCTCTTCAAGTAGCTTTAATGCACACACCCCCGCCCCCCGCCTTTGTTGGACGCAGATTTTACTCGTATGCTTAATAAACATAATCAAATGACAGTTTGAGCTTGATCCAACATTTTGTTGGGTCCTTAGCCAATCTAAAACCTCACACTCTTTAAAATAAAATTGTGAAATTTGAGTGAGCCAAGATGTTAGTACAGGGGGGCATGTGCATGTGGATAATTTCCCCACACGTCCTGTGTGGTGTGATTCCAGGCGCCCATCTACCTGGGCGCCATGGAGCCCCTGGTTAGCGGCAGCGAAGATGACCAAATATTTCCAAGGACGCGACGGCTTCGGCAATAAACAGATCACAGTGCTGCTGCTCTAGTTTATCCCAGGTGAGGCTTCTTCAGGTCCAAAGAGTTTGCTTGGATCTTTCCTGGGAATGTGCGGAGCGTCGAGCTGGTTCTTCGTTTATTAGGCTCGTGCGTTAGGCTCGTGCGTTGCTCGTGCGTTGCTCGTGCGTTAGGATCGTGTGTTGCTCGTGCGTTAGGATCGTGTGTTAATCTCGTGTGTTATGCTCGTGTCTTAGGCTCGTGTTATTGAATATGCTATGTTTTGTTTACCGAGAGTTTGATATGTGCAACGTATCGTGGAAGAACAGGGGCAGTGCAGTGATCAAACTGCATAGCCAGGGCCCTTCTATGCTATGTCACTTGCTTAGCTCGAAGAAGAAGCACTCCAGGCCGCGCGCGTTCTGCCACTTGCCATCGAAGAGTGCCATCTGGTAGACCTCCATCAGGACGCGGATGCAGTCGACCATCAGGAGATAGAAGTCGTTGCTGAGGAGAACCACAATTCGGGCGTAGCTAGCTGTGGCCGGGCTGGGGGGCCGGGTCACACAGCCTATGAGAATGCGTAGCAGCTGCTCCTTGTGGTCGGGCAGGCAGTCGGTGATCAGCAGTTTCAGTCGACGGATGTGGAAAAAGTCGGCGACGAAATTGACGCCGTCTAGTTTAGCCATCAACTCGGCAATCAGTTCAATACGGTCGTCGGGGGTGAGATCCTCACCGCGCCGAGCTTGCCACTTCCTCTTGCGATGATGACCGTTCATTCTGATAGAACATTGGGATTCTCACTGATTCTGATTTTCAGACAATAAATACATACGTATGTGCACTAATTGAAGAAAGGAATTCGAATTACAGTGCAATTTGTTCACTTTTCACTTCTTCTTGGATTGGTCTTCGGCAGAATCCACGCGTTGCTTTCTTCAGGGAGGATGCGAACAATCCAGAACGAAATTACTACTGAAAATACAGCGAACTTAGGCGTTTTATTGTAACTTTTTTCTAGTTTCTCAATTTTTACACAGAACACTCACTGAACTGACTATTAACTGCCTGATTTGTTGACAATATGTGAACAAATGTTTGGCCTATTCCGATTGACAAAGCCGGCGAAAGCCCGCATTGGCAGCACTGGCTTTGTAAAGGTAGCACCTTTGCGGCTTCCTAGCTTCATGTTTTAGCACCAGGAGTTTCGTTACTTCTGTCGCTTTCTGCGTAGTTCGAGTCGGACACATGTTCTTCAGGGGGAAAAAAAGATCGCTGATGATGAAGAGTGGGTAAGTTGAGTGGTTACTATTTGAATGAATACAATTTTATGGGTGGCTTGTTAATTTCAAAATAAAGGCGTTTATTCGATTCGATCGGACTATCGCTCAAAAGTACCGATATTGTCTTCGCAGCTCCCTGTACATCGATAAGTAGAATCAAAAGTCGCGGATATATTTGATCTAACATCCTGAGCCAACAGAAAATTATAGTCGATTCAGCCCAAATTCAGAAGTAGTTCAGTAGTTCCATTGATGTTATATCCATATTAATATCCTTATCAATATATTCGCCGTATATCGTATCCACAAGTCCACTGGAAAATGTAGAAAAAAATATCCAATAATACGAAGCATACCATTACGAAGTCTAGAAAATTAAGCTCAGACTCTTTTGCCGAGAGTAACCATCCGCAGCGTCCTTTTCAGGCATTTCAAACACAAATGAAAATAAGTTTTACATACGATAAAACAATAACTAATAGTTTCTCAGCTGATTTCTAGCACGATACACAAATTCGAAAATGCATAAAAAGAACGACTGGACAGAGTCGCTCTTGGCTCCATACGCCGTAATATCGACTATGCGGCAACACCACCCGCGAGCATGAGGCGCGCAATATGCGACGCATCCTCAACGCCAGCGACAGACAAGATGTGAGTACACGAGTACGAGTACGAGTACAGGGAGAAGAGAGCATGTGCATATGGTGTTTGGTGTGATTCCAGGTGCCCATCTATCTGGGGGCCGTGGAGCCGCTGATAAGCTGCAGCGAAGATGACAAAAAGTATTTCCATGGATGCGACGGCTTCGGCGACTGTCTGGCGGCGTGTGACAGCGAGGAGTCGCTAGAGAGCATCGTGCAGGCGGAGCATGCGGTGACCGCCATTTACAAGCTATGCCGCCAGCGACCCAAACAGATCACTGTGTTCGCGGTGGGGCCACTGACCAATCTGTCCCTCGGCTTCACCATGTACTGTGAAGAGTTCGGCCAGCAGTTGAGGGACCTCTACATCATGGGCGGCAACTATCAGGGCGTGGGCAACTCCTCGCGTTCGGCGGAGTTTAACTTTCATTCCGATCCGGAGGCCGCACATGCCGTGCTGCTCAAGACACACTGTCCGATCACCATTCTGCCCTGGGAGGCTTGTCTTCCAGAGCGTTTCAACATACACATTGTGAGTAGAAGAGCCCGAGAAGAGAGCTCCCTCCGGATAGAAGGTACATAATTCATTTTGTTTCTGTTTGCCGCGTAGAATTGGCGCCTGGAGCAATTCGCGGTCAGAGCGGCGGCCGTCCAGCATTCGGCCATCACACTGCTGAACCGCGTGGAGAGCGCCCAGTGGCTGCCCATGATGGAACAGTATGGGATCGACACGTGGAATCCCTGCGATGCTATTGTGGTGGCAGTTTGGCTCTTCGGGGACCGGCTCGTGCGGAAGCAAAGTACGTGGCATGCCACAGTGGACCTGCGTGGCACGCATACACGCGGCCAGATGGTGCTCGATCATCTGCGGGAGCGGGAAAAGTATCCTGAGAACGTGCGGATCATCGAGCTGGTCGACGCCGAGTTCTTCAAACGGATTGTCGAGTGGGTTGCGGGGCTGGATGGTGGGGAATTTCTGTTCAATAAATAATAATACGAGTAGTACATAAAATATATTCCTAAAGTGCACCAATATCGTTGCCTAGATTCTTCGTTTATTAGGCTCGTTTGTTAGCCTCGTTCGTTAATCTCGTGTGTTAGGCTCGTGTTATTGAGTATGCTATGTTTTGTTTACCGAGAGTTTGATATGTACAACGTATCGTGGCCGAACAGGGGCAGTGCAGTGATCAAACTGCATAGCCAGGGCCCTTCTATGCTAAGTCACTTGCTTAGCTCGGCGAAGAAGTACTCCAGGCCGTGCGCGTTGTCCCACTTTCCATCGATGAGTGCCTTCTCTTGGACCGACCTCAGGGCGCGGATGCAGTCGACCATCAGGGAACCAAAGTCGTTGCTGAGGAGACTCACAATTTTGGCGTAGCTAGCTGTGGCCGGGCTGGGGGGCCGGTTCACATAGCCTATGAGAATGCGTAGCAGCTGCTCCTTGCGGTCGGGCAGGCAGTCGGTGATCAGTAGTTTCAGTCGACGGATGTGGAAAAAGTCGGCGACGAAATCGACGCCGTCTAGTTTAGCCATCAACTCGGCAATCAGTTCAATACGGTCGTCGGGGGTGAGATCCTCACCGCGCCGAGCTTGCCACTTCCTCTTGCGATGATGACCGTTCATTCTGATAGAACATTGGGATTCTCACTGATTCTGATTTTCAGACAATAAATACATACGTATGTGCCCTAATTGAAGAAAGGAATTCGAATTAGTGCAATTTGTTCACTTTTCACTTCTTCTTGGATTGGTCTTCGGCAGAATCCACGCGTTGCTTTCTTCAGGGAGGATGCGAACCATCCAGTTCGAAATTACTACTGAAAATACAGCGAACTTAGGCGTTTTATTGTAACTTTTTTCTAGTTTCTCAATTTTTACACAGAACACTCACTGAACTGAACTGACTATTAACTGCCTGATTTGTTGACAATATGTGAACAAATGTTCCTATGGCCTATTCCGATTGACAAAGCCGGCGAAAACAATATATATTTTCTGTCCCCGCATTGACAGCACTGGCTTTGTAAAGGTAGCACCTTTGCGGCTTCCTAGCTTCATTTTTTAGCACCAGGAGTTTCGTTACTTCTGTCGCTTTCTGTGTAGTTCGAGTCGGACACATGTTCTTCAGGGGGAAAAAAAGATCGCTGATGATGAAGAGTGGGTAAGTTGAGTGGTTACTATTTGAATGAATACAATTTTATGGGCGGCTTGTTAATTTCAAAATAAAGGCGTTTAAAAAGGGTTTTAAAGGGTATGAACCGTCGCGGCAGTGTTTAGGGGGTTTTGAAGTCCTCGAGGATCGAGGTATTTTTCGCATAGGCCAGTAGTTGCTGTGGCGTCCTCTTGGAGGCATCTTCCAGTGATGCCAGCACTGGCGCGCCCAAGTACTTCCTCCTTGCCCTTAAGAGAGCAGGACAGTTGCAGATGAGATGTTCTAGGGTTTCGGTTGCCCCAGGTTCGTCACATTTCCTACAACTGTCTCTGTTTGTGATTCCTAGCTTTGTTGCATGCGCCGCAGCCAGGCAGTGTCCCGTTAATATTCCCACTAATAATCTGCAGTCCTTCCGTGGTAGGTGCAGCAGGTAGTGGCTGAGTTTGTCATTGCGGTCCTTGCACATGATTTTCGAGGTTCTGCAGGCGGTGGTACTCCCCCACCTACTTTCGGTTTGTGACCCGGCCTGCTTTTCTAGATCGCTTTGCAGCGTTCTGAGGGAGACAGGCACGTTCTCGGTTCTCGTATTCGCCAGCCCGACGCCTTCCTTAGCTAGTACGTCCGCCGTCTCGTTTCCTTCGATTCCCTGGTGGCTGGGAATCCAATAGATCCGCACTGACTTTGTCGTGCTTAGGGTATCTAGTGCCTCCCTGCTCGCCAAGACATTTCTGGAACTGACTGCGGACGACTGCATGGATTTTATCGCCGCTTGGCTGTCGACGAATAGGTTGACCGCATCGTGTGCTCTTTCAGTGAGAAGAGCGACCTCTGCTGCTTTCCTGATGGCAAAAACCTCTGCCTGGAATATGCTACAATGGTCCGGTAGCTTATATGACAGCCTTATCTCAGGGTCTCTACAGTATAGGCCCGCTCCTACTCCTCCGTCCATCTTGGAGCCGTCCGTATATATATTGAGGTGCTCCGTTTGGTTTCTTCCGATTTTCCAGTCTTCAGGTCCCAAAGATGTTGTTTTTACGTCGAGGCATGTTTGGGGGGTCATGTAATCAGTTGATCTGTTAATTTCCAATTGAACTATGCCCGTATTCTTGTGGCGACATATTTCCTGAAGCGATAAGGCGTTGTGCTGCCTTTCCTGCAGTCAGACGGGCGTGGATGTCTAGGGGTTCGATTGCAAGTAGGGTTTCGAATGCTTTTGTTGGGGTTGACCTCAGCGCCCCTGTAATACAGAGCAAAGCCTGTCGCTGAGTCTTTTCCATAAGCTTATGATACGTTTTCTTTCCAGTAGCTTGCCACCACACTAAGACTCCATACAGCAGAGTTGGTCGTACCACCGAGATGTAAATCCAATGCATCAGAGCCTGAGACAGGCCCCATTATCTGCTGAGCATCTTCTTGGATGCATAAAGCGCAATGGTGGTCTTCTTCACCCTTTCCAATACATTGGGTTTCCATGCCAGTTTACTATCCAGTACTGTGCCCAGGTATTTGACTTGTGTTTTTGGGGTTAGCCTAGTTTGATTGATCTTCGGGGGGTCCATATCGGTACCTTGTACCTCTTGGTAAAGAGGATGACGTCCGTCTTGTCCGCGTTGATACTGAGTCCTACTTCTTCCGCCCACTCGCGTATCTCCCTGAGTGTTCGTTCCATTAGTGAGCTGAGGGTCGATGGGCAAACACCCGTAATAAGTATGCTTATGTCGTCCGCATAAGCTGTTATTATTGGGGCCTTCCTTTCGTATCTCTTGATGAGGTCGTCGACCACCAGATTCCACAGGAGGGGCGACAGGACTCCACCCTGGGGTGTGCCTCTGTGTGCCTCTTTCACCATGGAAGCGGTGCCCCACTCTGATTGCACCCGTCTGCAATCTAGGAGGTTCCTTATCCACAGGTTGATTGCTGGGTGTGTATTAGTTGCTACCAGGCAATTTGTTATTGCTTCCGTAGCCACGTTGTTGAATGCTCCGGAGATGTCCACGAATACTCCCAGTGCATACTTTTTATTGTGAAGGGCTTTCTCAATGGTAGCTACTACCGAATGTAGTGCGGTCTCCACCGATTTCCCTTTAGTATAGGCATGTTGGTTGGTTCCCCCATCAGTCCCCCTACCTCATTCCTGATGTGTAAGTCCAGCAGCTTTTCTAGTGTTTTTAGAATAAAGGAGGTAAGGCTTATCGGTCTATAGTCCTTGGGACTCGCATGGCTGCACTTTCCTGAATTTGGGAGGAAGACAACTCTCGAGGTTCTCCATTGGATAGGGATATAGCCAGTACTTATACAAGCTGTGAATATTGCGGAGAGCCATGGGGTAATCGCCTCTTTGGTCACCTGCATCGTGGCTGGGAATATCCCGTCAAGCCCTGGTGCTTTTGTGCCCGCAAAGGAGTCTATTGCCCAGTGGATTCGCTTGGTGGTTAACAGATTAGTTGGGGTGTTGTTCCTCGGTTGCTAGGTCCTGGTGCTCTTTGGCATCAGCGACCGCGGTGCAACCAGGGAAATGTTCCTCCATTAGTGCTGTTAGGGCTTCGTCACTGCCCTCTGTCCACTGTCCGTCATCTAGCTTTAATTGGCTTTGTATGGTAGGCTGCTTAGAGAGCAGCTTCCGTAGCCGTGCGGTTTCTGGTACCTTCTCGATGTTGGAGCAGAAGGTCCTCCGCGAGTTCCGTTGTGCTTTACGTATTTCCTTCTTGTAGCTCCTGAGTAGGAGTCTATATTCCTCATAGACGATCCCTTCGTTCGATTGTTTGGCGATCTTAAAGAATTCCTTGAGGTTGTCCCTTTGAAGAGAGAGATCCCGGCTCCACCAGAGTGGCTTGGACCTCTTCTTCGTCCTCGAGGGTTTGCACGATGTGTGGTAGGTGTCCAGCAACGCGTTGGATAGGGTCTCTAGAGACTTTTCTATGTCCTCCGCGGATTTCACTGTGCCCGGACTCGCGAGCTTCGAAGTAACTGTCTTTTTAAACTTTTCCCAGTTTATATTCCGGGGGTTTCTATAGACTATGACCTTCGAAGAATGTTTGAAGTCGCACTTAAACTGAATGTACTTGTGATCTGAGAAGGAGGGTCTTTCAAGGACCCTCCAGCTAGATACCGTAGTACTGTTTCCCGTTGCAAGTGTTAGGTCTAGCACGTTGGATGAGGTCGGACCTACGAAGGTGTGCTCCTCCCCGACGTTTGCTATATATAGATTAGTTGCTAGTATAAAGTCTAAGAGTGACTCACCTCTATCATTGATGTCGGTGCTTCCCCACACATTGTGGTGGGCATTGATAGGTGAGTTGATAGTTTTTGGTGCCGGCTTCTGTCACCAGGCTCCTGAGTTCGTCGGGTGGTGCGGGTCTGTCGTGAGCCATGTAGCAGGAAGCCACCAGAAGGCGCTTTTCCTCACTTTCCAGCATCACAACCGTCAGGTCATCCGTGCTGTAATGAGACATAAGGTAAGCATGGATTCCCTTTCGTACGAGTACGACGGTTCTGTTCCTGCTTACCGATGTTGTGTAGAACCGATGTTGTGATTTGAGGACTTTAGTCTGGCCACTGAATTGCCTGTCGCAATCCAGGGCTCCTGGACTAGAGCTATGTCGGCGAGCCCTTGCTTAATGGCGATGAGAAGCTCCGCCGACGCTACCTTGCTTTTATGCAAGTTGAGCTGCAGCACACTCAGCATGGATGGCTGGCTCACTTGCATCCGACGGGTTGACTACTAACGTCAGGCCACCGTCTTCCTCGTCTTCGTCCTCAAGCGCAAGACCCTGGGCGGCCTCCACGATGGACTCGAGACCTAAGTCCTTTTCCACCTTGCCTACCTGCAGGGTATGCGCGTCCTTGTCCTCAGGGTGGCGCTTTTTGAGGCGCAGGTAGACGCTACCCATGGGTAGCGCTACCCACGTGGGCATAGGGGCCGCGGGGTCTTCTTCCATGTTCGCAAGCAGTGCGTGGACGAGACGCGCGTGAACAAGCTTCCACTGTGCCGCTGACATCTTGCCGTTTTCCTCGCTCCGGTCGATGAGTGCCACGATCAAATGTCGTTTGGTCACATGGCTGACCTTCGCTTTCGATTTCGATGGCTTCTTGGCCACTTTCGGTGGAGGGGCTGCACTCTTGGGCCCGCGTTGCCGCTTGCTCGCCAGAGTATCTTTCATGGCACTCTCAGTCGAGCGTTGCCTCTTGGTGGCCATCATCTCCTCCACCTTATTGGCATATTCGCCATTCGACGCCCTCATCTGTGGCATCTGGGCGTAATGTAGTCGGCCCTCCTCTACTCGCTGCTCGGCCCAGGCTAGCTTGACCTTCTCCTCCTGGGAGATGTCTACTTTACCTTGCAGCCGGCTTTTGATATTGAGGGCCGCTTTGCATTGTGCTTTGGCCTTCATCCCCTCCCTGGAACGCTTCGGCCCTTCCCTACGCAGGGAGCTGGTACCTGGTTCTGGACGCGACGCTGGACGCGACGGCTTCGGCAATAAACAGATCACAGTGCTGCTGCTCTAGTTTATCCCAGGTGAGACTTCTTCAGGTCCAAAGAGTTTGCTTGGATCTTTCCTGGGAATGTGCGGAGCGTCGAGCTGGTTCTTCGTTTATTAAGCTCGTGCGTTAGGCTCGTGCGTTGCTCGTGCGTTAGGATCGTGTGTTGCTCGTGCGTTAGGATCGTGTGTTAATCTCGTGTGTTATGCTCGTGTCTTAGGCTCGTGTTATTGAATATGCTATGTTTTGTTTACCGAGAGTTTGATATGTGCAACGTATCGTGGAAGAACAGGGGCAGTGCAGTGATCAAACTGCATAGCCAGGGCCCTTCTATGCTATGTCACTTGCTTAGCTCGAAGAAGAAGCACTCCAGGCCGCGCGCGTTCTGCCACTTGCCATCGATGAGTGCCATCTGGTAGACCTCCAACAGGGCGCGGATGCAGTCGGCCATCAGGAGATAGAAGTCGTTGCTGAGGAGAACCACAATTCGGGCGTAGCTAGCTGTGGCCGGGCTGGGGGGCCGGGTCACACAGCCTATGAGAATGCGTAGCAGCTGCTCCTTGTGGTCGGGCAGGCAGTCGGTGATCAGCAGTTTCAGTCGACGGATGTGGAAAAAGTCGGCGACGAAATTGACGCCGTCTAGTTTAGCCATCAACTCGGCAATCAGTTCAATACGGTCGTCGGGGGTGAGATCCTCACCGCGCCGAGCTTGCCACTTCCTCTTGCGATGATGACCGTTCATTCTGATAGAACATTGGGATTCTCACTGATTCTGATTTTCAGACAATAAATACATACGTATGTGCCCTAATTGAAGAAAGGAATTCGAATTACAGTGCAATTTGTTCACTTTTCACTTCTTCTTGGATTGGTCTTCGGCAGAATCCACGCACGCGTTGCTTTCTTCAGGGAGGATGCGAACCATCCAGTTCGAAATTACTACTGAAAATACAGCGAACTTAGGCGTTTTATTGTAACTTTTTTCTAGTTTCTCAATTTTTACACAGAACCCTCACTGAACTGACTATTAACTGCCTGATTTGTTGACAATATGTGAACAAATGTTTGGCCTATTCCGATTGACAAAGCCGGCGAAAGCCCGCATTGGCAGCACTGGCTTTGTAAAGGTAGCACCTTTGCGGCTTACTAGCTTCATTTTTTAGCACCAGGAGTTTCGTTACTTCTGTCGCTTTCTGCGTAGTTCGAGTCGGACACATGTTCTTCAAGGGGAAAAAAAGATCGCTGATGATGAAGAGTGGGTAAGTTGAGTGGTTACTATTTGAATGAATACAATTTTATGGGTGGCTTGTTAATTTCAAAATAAAGGCGTTTATTCGATTCGATCGGACTATCGCTCAAAAGTACCGATATTGTCTTCGCAGCTCCCTGTACATCGATAAGTAGAATGAAAAGTCGCGGATATATTTGATCTAACATCCTGAGCCAACAGAAAATTATAGTCGATTCAGCCCAAATTCAGAAGTAGTTCAGTAGTTCCATTGATGTTATATCCATATTAATATCCTTATCAATATTCGCCGTATATCGTATCCACAAGTCCACTGGAAAATGTAGAAAAAAATATCCAATAATACGAAGCATACCATTACGAAGTCTAGAAAATTAAGCTCAGACTCTTTTGCCGAGAGTAACCATCCGCAGCGTCCTTTTCAGGCATTTCAAACACAAATGAAAATAAGTTTTACATACGATAAAACGATAACTAATAGTTTCTCAGCTGATTTCTAGCTCGATACACAAATTCGAAAATGCATAAGAAGAACGACTGGACAGAGTCGCTCTTGGCTCCATACGCCGTAATAGCGACTATGCGGCAACACCACCCGCGAGCATGAGGCGCGCAACATGCGACGCATCCTCAACGCCAGCGACAGACAAGATGTGAGTACACGAGTACGAGTACGAGTACAGGGAGAAGAGAGCATGTGCATATGGTGTTTGGTGTGATTCCAGGTGCCCATCTATCTGGGGGCCGTGGAGCCGCTGATAAGCTGCAGCGAAGATGACAAAAAGTATTTCCATGGATGCGACGGCTTCGGCGACTGTCTGGCGGCGTGTGACAGCGAGGAGTCGCTAGAGAGCATCGTGCAGGCGGAGCATGCGGTGACCGCCATTTACAAGCTATGCCGCCAGCGACCCAAACAGATCACCGTGTTCGCGGTGGGGCCTCTGACCAATCTGTCCCTCGGCTTCACCATGTACGGTGAAGAGTTCGGCCAGCAGTTGAGGGACCTCTACATCATGGGCGGCAACTATCAGGGCGTGGGCAACTCCTCGCGTTCGGCGGAGTTTAACTTCCATTCCGATCCGGAGGCCGCACATGCCGTGCTGCTCAAGACACACTGTCCGATCACCATTCTGCCCTGGGAGGCTTGTTTTCCAGAGCGTTTCAACATACACATTGTGAGTAGAAGAGTCCGAGAAGAGAGCTCCCTCCGGATAGAAGGTACATAATTCATTTTGTTTCTGTTTGCCGCGTAGAATTGGCGCCTGGAGCAATTCGCGGTCAGAGCGGCGGCCGTCCAGCATTCGGCCATCACACTGCTGAACCGCGTGGAGAGCGCCCAGTGGCTGCCCATGATGGAACAGTATGGGATCGACACGTGGAATCCCTGCGATGCTATTGTGGTGGCAGTTTGGCTCTTCGGGGACCGGCTCGTGCGGAAGCAAAGTACGTGGCATGCCACAGTGGACCTGCGTGGCACGCATACACGCGGCCAGATGGTGCTCGATCATCTGCGGGAGCGGGAAAAGTATCCTGAGAACGTGCGGATCATCGAGCTGGTCGACGCCGAGTTCTTCAAACGGATTGTCGAGTGGGTTGCGGGGCTGGTTGGTGGGGAATTTCTGTTCAATAAATAATAATACGAGTAGTACATAAAATAAGTTCTTAAAGTGCACCAATATCGTTGCCTAGATTCTTCGTTTATTAGGCTCGTTTGTTAGCCTCGTGTGTTAGGCTCGTGTTATTGAGTATGCTATGTTTTGTTTACCGAGAGTTTGATATGTACAACGTATCGTGGCCGAACAGGGGCAGTGCAGTGATCAAACTGCATAGCCAGGGCCCTTCTATGCTAAGTCACTTGCTTAGCTCGGCGAAGAAGTACTCCAGGCCGTGCGCGTTGTCCCACTTTCCATCGATGAGTGCCTTCTCTTGGACCGACCTCAGGGCGCGGATGCAGTCGACCATCAGGGAACCAAAGTCGTTGCTGAGGAGACTCACAATTTTGGCGTAGCTAGCTGTGGCCGGGCTGGGGGGCCGGTTCACATAGCCTATGAGAATGCGTAGCAGCTGCTCCTTGCGGTCGGGCAGGCAGTCGGTGATCAGTAGTTTCAGTCGACGGATGTGGAAAAAGTCGGCGACGAAATCGACGCCGTCTAGTTTAGCCATCAACTCGGCAATCAGTTCAATACGGTCGTCGGGGGTGAGATCCTCACCGCGCCCAGCTTGCCACTTCCTCTTGCGATGATGACCGTTCATTCTGATAGAACATTGGGATTCTCACTGATTCTGATTTTCAGACAATAAATACATACGTATGTGCACTAATTGAAGAAAGGAATTCGAATTACAGTGCAATTTGTTCACTTTTCACTTCTTCTTGGATTGGTCTTCGGCAGAATCCACGCACGCGTTGCTTTCTTCAGGGAGGATGCGAACCATCCAGTTCGAAATTACTACTGAAAATACAGCGAACTTAGGCGTTTTATTGTAACTTTTTTCTAGTTTCTCAATTTTTACACAGAACACTCACTGAACTGAACTGACTATTAACTGCCTGATTTGTTGACAATATGTGAACAAATGTTCCTATGGCCTATTCCGATTGACAAAGCCGGCGAAAACAATATATATTTTCTGTCACCGCATTGGCAGCACTGGCTTTGTAAAGGTAGCACCTTTGCGGCTTCCTAGCTTCATTTTTTAGCACCAGGAGTTTCGTTACTTCTGTCGCTTTCTGTGTAGTTCGAGTCGGACACATGTTCTTCAGGGGGAAAAAAAAGATCGCTGATGATGAAGAGTGGGTAAGTTGAGTGGTTACTATTTGAATGAATACAATTTTATGGGCGGCTTGTTAATTTCAAAATAAAGGCATTTAACCTCCGGATTCGATCCGACTATCGCACAAAAGTACCGATATTGTCTTCGCAGCTCCCTGTATTCATGTTAATATGTTCGCCCAGACAAAAAATATCAGACATATAAGTCGATAAATATTAAAAAATTGATATATCAATACATACTTAAGAACCATCCCTAGAATACTAAACCTGCGGTGACCGCTCTCAAATCATTTATTCCAATGGATTGGATCTAAATCCTTTTCGCTCATTCACTCTCAAACAATTTCTATTTGGCGCACACCACTTGCATCCAATCGATAGTATTGATGGTCGAATTGCTTTTGAAATAGAAACGACGAGATTTTTTCTTTCAGCCAATGAAAACTGTTTAAAATGTTCTTGACCATTACATGCACAAAAGTCCCGCAACATGGGCCGTACCCTGGGAAAAGGATATTATATAATTGCGGAAATTTTTGTCATCTCAAGCTGCAATATATGCACAAACTAGTCAGTATCTGTTTAAAAAGTATTTCAACGATATTTTTAAGGTAGTGGTCTCTGTAAGAATTGGTATTGGGATCAGGATATATACAACAATCTAATCAAATGCATGAATACGTCTAAAACATATCAATTTGAGAAAATGTATTTATTAATTACGTTTTAAAACAGATTGGAAAACAGTATCTTCAATAAAAAATTAACGAAATAGGGTATACAAATGCCCATACTCCATAAAAATGTTTTTCATATAGACCATGTACACAATTTACATTTTTGTTGACCTTTTTTGTTTAAAATTTCTTTTATACACAATACAATAAAAGGCGTCTTTAAAATGAACCAGTCTTGTGGGAAAATGATTCGTCAATCGGATTAAAGTTTGTGAGCAAGGCTGAGGGTTCTAGTTAGGTAGTAAAATTACCCGGAATATCAAAAACGAGAAATATTTATGAGGGACCTATCGATAAGTCCACTATTCCGCCATTTTGACGCGTCCATCGCTACTGCGCAGCTGCGGCGCCCACTGCAGGCTGCTGTTCCTATAAAAAGACCGACAAGAGCTGTTTTTTCATACATATATGTACATATATATTTTTTTTCTAATACTGGCACTATTTCTATTGACTAAACTGAATCTTCTTCAGATGTCTTTTGTCTTTCAATTAAAAAAAAATTAAATGTATACGGGAAAAAAACATGAATTGCGAATGGCATCTTTTTTCGATGAAAAAAATATGTTCTTCCCATTTTTCGATCAACATATTTTCACAAACAGTTGCGGAGGTGCTGCGGGGAGGTGCCTCTTGCCTGAGTCAAAAAAATGGTCCTCCCATTTTTCGTTCAACATATTTTTACGAAAAGTTGCGGAGGTGCTGCGGAGGAGTTGCCTCCGTCGCAGATACGGTCGTGGCGGACGTCTGTAATCAGGGGGTCTTTGCTTTTATATTGAGAAAATGCATGTCTAATCCTTAAGCTAGAAAGTTGTACATTGCGAATCTCGTGGATCAAACAAACGGTTGATTCTTCTGCGTACATATTAAAAATTTGTTTGTTTTTCTTGATTTCTGGAGGATTTGACTCATTTAACTTTAACAGTTGAGGCACGTCCACCGCGCCTTCATAAAGATTTTAAAAAATGTATTTACGTTTTTTTTTTTTACATTAACTTATTCAACTTTGACAGCTCTTAGAGTTTGGTGCACAGCATTTCTGGTCCTTTGGCCGTAACAGCGACTGGCATATTCCCTGAGCCACGCGACGTATGTTCTCAAAGCGGTGTTTCTTGCGTATCGTGCCCGTTTGCGTCGCCAGGTCCACATCTGGGACAACTAAAGTACGGCCAGGACATTACACTCCACACCCACAGATTAGATGACATGGAGCGATCGAGTATTTGAACTAGTTTTAAAATATTTTTTTTTTTTGTTTTTTCGAGATTGTTGTCGTCTCCGCCGGGCTGATGACCGACAGCATAGCAAGGCGTACTCTTAAACAGTCTTCAAAGTTATTTAGTTCTACGACACACACATTGCGGTCCGCCTCAGCAGATGGATCCGGATCCCTGTGCCTGTGCCCGGCTCCGCGCGTACGGGAGTCCGATTCCACATGAGGGCGAGGCATGAGTTCAATATCTTCTTGTTGCTGCAGAGCGCCTCCCGGCTGCTGGGTTTTTGCAATGATTAAAATGACCTTCATTCTGTGATGACAGATAGGCACTGGAAAACGTTTCTCCAGCATCACTGCCCTGGTCTGTTGTACATCAACCGTCGACATCTTCTGTTGAAGTGTTTTCCGATTCTAAATTTTAGTGTATAGTTTCTGAAGGGCTGGGCTGGGCTTCTGAGAGCGGTGGTGTGTTGCAGATCCGCTTCGGACAGCCCCCCACATCCACACCACCCACATCATGCTGTGTGGAGTGCCCTGAGGCCTGCGTTTCCCAAGAAGCGACCAGAGTGTGGGACACGCCCGTAGATTCTGCAAGTGATGATCAACTACAAAAGATTACTTACTTTGTCATTGCCTTGATAGGCGGAGGGAACAGCCACCGTAGTGTTTATGTGCTGTTCCACCAGTTCCACGGGTTGGTTTATGGGCAACGAGTCCGAGCAGATTGTGCGCTACAAGCGAGGATACCCTTTGGATAAAAAACACAGCCGCAACTGTGGCGGATCAGCTGAAATCGCTGCCCAACTGCAGCCAATGGGGTGGGATTCGTCAATTCGAGTATGTGGGAACGGGAGTTTAACGAGTGACGGTGGTACTGTCCACACGAAGTCGCTCCATTCGTTTTCCGCACAAGTCCATGTTACAAAACAAAAAAAAAAAATGTTTTTTTTTTATTTTAGCTTTCTTTTTTTTAGCTTTTTTATTAAGCTTTTCTTTTCTTTTGTTATTCATTCAACCGCAAGAGAATGCCGCCTTATTTCGTTTATTTTCAATGTACGCGAGTGGGTACGAACATAAGAAATTTAAAATTTGTTTGTCGATTAATTTTTTTTTTTTTTTCGATTTCAGCAGAGAAAATCAGCTATTTTTGTTCCTTTTCAGCTGAGAATATCAGAAATATACCAAAATACCACTGTCGATAAATCCTATAGCAACTGCCTAGCATAATCAACCAGGGTGACCGGTTTACCATTTTCAACTGTATATAAAAATCCAATAAAAGCAAGTATTTAGAATAGACCAGTTAAGTAGAAAATTGATTCATCAATCGTTTAAAACTATGTGGGCATGGCTTAATGTTCTATATAGCTAGAAGTATTCCACGGAATTTTAGAAACCCGGAATATGTAAAATATAACTTGCACTCGTCAGTACATTTACGGTATATTTTTCAAATGAGATGGTATATTTTGGTATATTTCTGAGGGTCGGCAGTATATTTTATCGAAAATTCCGCGGTCACACTGTACTCAACTCTAACTGCGTGCATAGCAAAAAAGAAAACATTAATTGTTTGTGTTTTTATTCGCTTGAGCCAACGGGTGTGTTAGTTCTCGCTGATTAAAGTTAAACAACAATTAAAGTTCAAAGTAGAAAAGCAGTCAGATATCCAATTTCTAGCGAAAGTAAGTTGTTGTGCGCTCTCTCCGCGTTTCCTCCATTCCCCTCTGTTTCTGTTTCTGTTTTCTAGACCGAGCAACATGTTGCCAGACAAACCAAATTATGAGGCGAGAAAATGGACGTAATCATTTAAACAAAAGGCGTGCGTGTGGAATTCGCAATCCCAGGCGTCAATACCCAACCAATTCGCAAACCGGCGGCTACCCGCTAGTCTGCCGCCCTCCCCACACAAACACGCGCCCGCTCCCGCAGGCGCACAGACAGGACAAGCAGACGACAGACACCAGCCCCTGCACGAAACGTAAGTCCTGCAGCAGAAGGAGCAGCAGCTGAGGAAGTCCGCGCATTCCATGGTGGATCCTCACCCCTGGGGAAGCACCAAGGCCAATTTCCAGTCTCTTTCCATTCCGCTTGTACATGTATTATTTATTTTCTGTGCATGGAACACAAAATACTTAAACTATTAATGCACATACACACACACCACGCACACAGCAGCAGTCCACCCCCCATTTCTGCTTTGGCGACACATTGAGACGCCTCCCCCATCCTCCGCCCACCTCTACTGCTGCTGCTGTGGGGCTTGTGCAATGTGAGAGAGGCCTCCCCACAAATTAAGTTTGTTTCACTTTAATGTGTGTTTGCTTGCCATTGTTCCAATGGCGGGCTGCTGGATGCATCTGCCTCCCTGCTGGAGAGAGAGAGCATCATAGGGGGAAGCATTTTAATATTGTTGTAGCATATACTCTTATAGAATCTCAGTCAGCAGGCACTAACCGAACCGCACACTAATCGTATCGGGTATGGCAGCGTATGACCCATTGTTTATCTAAAACGCCTCTTAAGACTTTCGCCCAGTTATCGATAAGATAAAAGGCAATTCCGAATTGAAAACAACTTTAAGCAAAAGCAAACGAGCAATTTCAGAAAAGAACATGAAAGACACTGGGGACAGCTCTCCTGGTCGCCAAGGACGCGTGCATCTTGACCTTGGTCCCAGCCGAGTGGTGGGTGCAGTGGTTCGTTTTATCATGGGCGCTTTTGCTCCATAAGCCCTAGAAAAGAAAGTAAACATATCATGATCGATCCATAGACTATGAGCTGGCTGGCACACCCCCATCGTCATTCACGAGGAACAAATAGTGTCCGTAATTGATGCGCAAATATTGTGACTCCACCAGGCAGTGAAACAAGGCCAAGCACGATCATCTTCTCTTTTTTTCCGTTTTTTATCCTCTGTGCACGGGCAGGGCAGGCCAGGGCCTCCATCCGCCCTTGATCAAGGCCTAATCTGTAATCTGTAACTGCCACTGACGTTTGGCAAACGTTTGGCATTGTTTATGTAACCACAAAATCTATACATGTATACTTAAACCATATACTTGTATAGGCATTGCATATAAACACTTGTATACTGGTAGAGAGGCTTCATTTCTCTCCATTGATTAGCTGTTTAGATCTCTCTCTCGCTCTGTTTCTGTCTCTCTTTGGCATCCAATTAGAGATGTGCGCGTGACTGCACGATCGTCAGAGCAGAACAGAGATGCTCACGACGCGCAATCGTAGGCTTTTTACGTATGTTCCAGCGCATATAACGGTCTAAGAAGGATTTTACTTTCGATCATTCATCCGTATGCGTGGTCCCGAAACTGAAAACCGAAACTTATGCCATGAGAAATGCCTGGCGTTCCACACGTTGCAATGAACAATGAATAATGGAAACCAATTCAAATTACGGAAATGCGCAATACGGGCGAATTACGGACCGGACACCGAACGACTTAGGGGAGGGGGTATGTGGGTTGACTGGAACTGAATTTGAGGATAAATTGTTGCAAATCGAATCAAAACTGAATATTCACTGCAAAAGTTCAGTAAAAATAATTGAATTTCCATCGAAATAAATTGATGAAGAGGTTCTTCAGCGAAATCGAATTGCCAATAAAAGTGAATGAAAATTGAATTGAAATTAAACTTTAACAGAACATTTCAAGATAAAACTATGTGTACGTAAAGTCCCCCAAGTCGAGACGGTATTAAAGATTAAGCTTAATGTAGGCCGTAGATGCAAAAGAGAGAGCGCCTAAAGGGCTTTGTTTCTAGACTTTTTTCCAAAGCAGAGAGGGGCAGGTCCTTGCTCCCTTTTCCCTGAGATTGCTACGACGCCAGCGAAGCTGACAAGCAAAAGCTTTACATGTCTTGTGCATGACGAGGGACAATTTGTACAAGATTCTTCGCCCATCGAAGCCAGGCAGACGCTTAAGCTAAGAAAGCAAAAGATATTCCTTCTGACCAAAAGAAAAAAAATAAAACAATTTACATGTCGCGTGAAGTATCATATTGATGATCGACTCGCCTGCAGACTACAGCTCTAGAATATTGAAAGTCTTCGGCCAGAGACCCTTAGGAAGAGGGGAAAGGGCCACGTCGGCAGGCGTTAGATCTTGGGTGTTCGCTCGGCGTTTGCTTTCAGTCCTTCTGCGGTGTAGAAGGAGTCTTTAAAGGCGGCTTCTTAAAGGTCCTAGCCGAACCCCTTCTCTTCAGTTTCAATGCTGATTCCTAATCGAAACGAGTTTTGCAGAAGCTCTATCTCCATTATGGAGCCCACTGCCGCGGGGAATCTGCTGGAGATCATGGACCTGGCGCGCACTCTCCGCCAGGAGCAACTCTTCATCCAGCAAGAGCAGACGGCCTTTGGCCAGCTGACGGGGGCTCTAGAGACCAATGCAGGCACCATAACAAAGGTAAATATTAACCAACAAGATAAGGGATTTAATCTCCCGTAAAATCTGCGCTCTGATCTGATATCTGGATCCCTGTTACAGTTGGCCTTTGTGTGTGCCCAGCAGAGACAGATACTGAACGAGCTGCTGGTGGCCAGGAACGATCACGATCCTCTGTTGAGCTGCAGACGGGCGAGTGCCTACGACAGTGCCCAGTTTATGGACGCCAAGCAGGTGCTGCCGTATGAGCATGCCCTGGCCTACGAGGATCTCTTCAATTATCTGTACAATACGCCATATTTGTTGGCCCTGTCGCTGGCCACCGCGGACCGGCTGTCGCTGCTCTCGAGCGGTCAATTGGGGCAGATCATCAATACGATAGCTACGGGTCTGTATGGGAATGCCATCAACACAAAGGATGTGGAACTGCTGCTGAAGCTCCTGCGTGAACTGATCGAAATCCAGCTGCTGGGCAGCGAGCAGCCCCGACGCCTGCTCCGGACCAATAGCAGCTCCTTTGCCCGCCTCTATCAGCGGCTGGTGGAGAGCCTCTTTTCGGCAAGAATCTTCCTTACAGCCGCCCTGCATGCCCCCCTCATGGGAGTCCTAAGCGAGCACGATATCTGGCTGGATCTCGATCCGCATAAGCTGATGCAGAGTTTTAGCCAGAAGGAGCGCGAACGGCGCTTTGGACAGGCGGGGGAGGGGGAGCACGGCGAGGAGTACCAGCGGAATGTGGCACGCTTCCATGCGGAGACCCTGGGTAAACTGCACACCCACGCCCAGGTGTTCGTGAAGAGTTTGCAGCAGAGCTGGGCGCTGTTTCCCAGCTCCCTGCGCTGGCTCCTGCAGACGCTCAGCCAGCAGCTGCGGCAGACGCATCGCCACAAAGAGCAGGAGATCCGGCAACTGCTCACGGATCTGGTATTCACGCACTTTATCTCCCCAGCCATCGTCAGCGCCGACCTGGTGGGCATTATCGATGTGAATGTCAGCGAACGGATGCGTCACAATCTCAATCAGATTGTCCAGCTGCTGCAGCGGCTGGCCCTGAACGACGAAGGCAGCGAATTGGTCCAGCTGATGGAGCTCCTCATGGTTGGCGAGACGGGGGAGGATGTGGTGGCCATACTGCCACAGCAGACGGATTTTGAGCGCTCACAGCTGGCCATCAATCAAAGAGAGCTTTCACAGTTTGTGGAGTTCTTTCGGCTGCTAACGTCCCGCGATGAATACGATGTTTCGGCCGAGGAGAGGCAGCGCTTGCAGCGCATCTTGGGCAGGATACCCAAGCAGCAGCAATCGCAGTCGGAACTGCCGGATGCTACCGCAAACAGTCCGGAGAAGCAGCAAAACAACAACAACAAGAAGAACAACAACAGGAGTCTGATGCGTCTGGGCAAGGCCAAAAAGAAGCTGGCCAATAGCATGAGCTTCAGCAACAGCAACAGCAATAGCAATAGCAATAGCAATAAAAATCTGCAGCCTGCAGTCGAGCAGCTACCGCCGTTGGCCAATGGCCAGGCGAATAGTTCCAACATTTCCTCTGCTTCGAATGGAGATCTGGAGCAGTGCTCCAGCCACAGCGGCAGCAATACGAGCCTTAGTTCCTGCGGTGCTGCTCCGGCTGCTCCTACTCCTGCCCCGACTGCTGTCACAAACGATCATCAATGCTGCCCCCCGGATGAGCCCGTGCTCATGTTTAGCATCTACAATGCCTCCGCGAAGAGTAAACTGAAGCCTCTCACCGAGGAGGAGGTGCTCAAGATGAACTGCATAGGGCAGGATAGCAGCAATCTGCTGCCCGCTGTGGCTTGCACCACTGGCGTGGTGGCACCCTCCTCGAACAACGATGATGTGAGCAGCCTGGAGGCGATGCGACGTCCCCAGGATGATGCCTCCATTGGCAATTCGGATAATCTGGAGGCCATCAGTGAGGCGGCGCATTCGGTGGCCAGTTCGCTGGATCTCGAAGAGCAACAAGAGCGGGATGTCCACGAGAACGAAGACAATCTCTCCGATATGGTGTCGGCGAATGTCTCGGGCAGGGGCACACCGAATATCAGTGGCCGGGACACGCCCTCGTCCCAAGTGACGGACGGCGATGGCGGTGGCGGGGACATGGCCCACCATCATGGCCATCACGTGCGTGCTGCGAATCCACAAATGCAAAAGATGCTCCTCTCAAAGGCCCGCTCCGACATCGACGATAAGTTCTGCAAATTTGAGTTGAAAAAGTTCGAGGGCGATGAGAATGTGAGCATCATTTCGGACACCTGGTCCACGGATGTCCTGGCCAGCGATTCGGAGAATACCCTCGATGCCACGGGCAGCGAACGGGGTGGCGATCGGGGCGATCGTGGAGACCGGGATCGCGACAGAAACTTCTCCACGCCGCTAATCCCCTCCGCTGTGGTCCTGCCGGGTGACAATAATTTCGTTGTAGAAGCCCTGGCCCGGGCCGGGGCTGGTGTGATCTCTGGACCCCACATGGATGCCTCCGACCAGCGATCGGAGAGCAACTGGAGCACCGATGTGCTGGCCAGCGATTCGGAGAAGCTGGCCGAAATCGATACGGATGATAATGCCAGCATCACAGCCAAATCGGACATTGGCCCTGGCTCGGGCGGAGGTGCCGGGGTGCCAGAGGCTGGCGGTGGTGGCGGTGGCGTAGGCGATGACGACGATGAGGACGAACAGACGCCGGGCAGCAGTGGCGACGGGGAGCCAGACCCAGATCCAGACCGAGAACGGCTGCGCAATGGCAGCGAACGCAGCCAAGAGGATTCGGCCTTCTTTGACGCCGTCAATTCGTATGAGGATGCCCATCACTTGTACCATGGCGCCTCCTCGCTGGCCCGAAGTTCGGTGAGGACCAGCTACCATGTCATGGGCGGGGAGAGTAGCTTCCAGCAACAGTACAAATCCAGCGGTGCCGAGGGCATTGGCCGGAAGACCACACCGCTGATGGGCACCTCCTGCATGCGACGCCAGACCTCGGCGGAGAGCAGCATTAGCAACCAGAGCCTCAATCTGGAGGAGCCGCCCCCGCCGCCACGAGCATTGGCCAAGCACCATCATCATCATCAGCATCGGGATAGGGATCGCGATAGGGATCGGGATCGGGATCATCGTGAGCATCATCACAAGTCGGCGGCGCTGAAGAAAAAGAAACACCAGGAGCATAAGGAGCATCAGCATCGAGATCTTATTGATTTCAGTGATTGCAGCGAGGACAAGGATGAGGAAGAGCAGCCGCCAGGGCTCGTCCAACAGCTGCTGGACATGTTCAACCAGGAGGAACAGCAGCAACAGCAACAACAACAGGGCTGCTCCTCCCAGTCGTCCGTCGAGCATCGTCGCATCTCCATGGAGCAGCGTTCACAGTGCATCGATGGGCGGCGGAATGGCATCCTGGCGGGCAGCATGCGACGCCACCAGAGTCTCAATTATGAGAATCATGAGATTATGCTCAATTCGATGCTGCCCAAAACGGATGACGACAAGCAAGAGCTGCTCCTCTGTGCCCAGACCCAGCAGCAGTTGCAGCTGGAGGAGCGAGCAGCAGCAGCCGAGAACAGTTGCAGCAACAGAGCCGGAGCCGGAGCAGGAGCCGGAGCCGGAGCCAGAGGCACATCCAAGCCGCCCAGCAAGGCCACAGGGGCCATACCAAAGAGCATTAGTTTCGATGCCAGTGCGGATAAAGAGCAGCAGCCGTACCGGGATAGGGAACGGGAGCGGGACAGAGAACGAGATCGGGAACGGGACAGAGACAGAGAACGGGACAGGGATAGAGATCGAGACAGGGACAGGGATCGAGAGCATCATAGTGCTGGCATTTTCAACAAGTTGAAGCAGGGCTTCTTCAAGCATCGCCGAGGAGGCTCAAGCAGCTCCAAGAACAATGCCATTGCCATCGCCGCCCCATCGAGCATCAATCCAAATCCGAATCCGAGTCCCAGTTCCGCAACAGATCCCGGGGGCCGCAGTGTTAGCTTTGATCCCAGTGCCGGTGTCTGCGTTAGCTTTGGCACCCACTACTGTGATAGCAGCGAAGATATCCTGGCCAAGTACAGGCGCAAGGTGAGCAGCTCCAGCGAGGCAACTAATTCGGATTCAACGGGCAA